ATTTTCGATTTCAATGAAAGACATCCGAGGTAAATTTCACTAAACTAAATATTGTATTGGATTAACTGTAGTTATCTTAGTTATCGTAGTTATCGTTTTTTTTAAGTAAAAGAGATTCAAAGCATAAAACTGTCGGCCTTGGAAAACGTTGTCGAACAATCTTTCAAGAACAAAACTAGCCCCTGGGGGTGGTGGTGAGTTGTGTACAAAATTCCTAAGTGGGAGAGTATACTCGCGCCAAAAAAAAACAAAAACAGCAACAACAAACAAACAAACAAAAACAAACAAACAAACAAACAAGCAAAACAAACAAAAAAAAAAAAAACGATGTAGTGCATTTCGATTCGATTTCACTGCATGGTTTTTATTATGGGAGAAATTATCTTCATCTCGAATAAAAAATTATTGAAGATGTTTTCCCCGATCTTATTTCTACCTTTTAGTTTCATTCAAATTGTTCTCCCTGTGTCTTCCGTATCGGGAGCTCCGCTTTTAGGCAGTGCCTAAATATATATATTAAAACGTTTTCTGTGCATTCGCGAGTTTTGCTTTGTAATCAAGCGGGATCCCTTTGGTGTTTACACGTACGTACGTACGGACGGAAATGACGTAGTCAAGCCATGAAAAATCTCGATGGGTTACCAATTTTTCCTTGGAACGTGGCTTGCTATTTATTGCTCGGAACTCTATGCCCCTTAGGACACTCGAGTTTTATTATCTAACCTTCACTTACATAAAACTTGTAAACTAATAATTAATGATATACTAGTATTGCCGATGTTTATATTTTCCAGTCATAATGCATCTTGCTGTCTGTATAGCTGTATCACTGGTTCTGCTTTCAAACGTTGAGCAATCTGAGGTCAGTAAAAAATCAATTTGGATTTTTAAATCTGGTCACTGGATCTTCTTTCAATAAAACGGCCTACTATGACCATCTGAAAGAGCACTTAAAAGTCGATGGATGTAGGAAATTTGAATGCCCATAGCAGAAAAACTCCCTAAGATATTGGAGATCAAAATTAGAGAGTTTTGTGTGGATATCTGGATATCTTGCCTTTGTGGCCTCGTTTTTATGTATTTCAACATTTATTTAAAAATTCAAAGTTTTGTAAGTTCTTTATGGATTTTTCATATTTTCCCCCAAATATTCACTTTTTACACTGATGAACATATTCCATCACATGTAAAAACAAATTCAGTCCAATGAGAATACTTACCTATTTTAGATGTTTTAATATGTTGATGAATTCTCCCCTTTTACTTATCTTATTTGCCTTGTGTTCTCTTAAACAGTGTGATGCGAGTATGGAACAAGTTAAAGCCATTTGGAGTAGGTACAATCAAGTGTCAAGTACTGGAGACGTGAGTAACGAGCTACCCCCTTCATTCCCCACACAGAAATATATCAGAGAACGATATTCCCCCCTTCCCTCCCCACACACAAACATACCAGAGGACTAATTCTCCCCTCCCCTCCCCACACTTGAATATATCAGAGGACATAATTCTCCCCTCCCCTCCCCTCCACACACAAAAATATACCAGAGGACTAAGTCTCCCCTCCCCTCCCCACACTTAAATATATCAGAGGACATTATTCTTCCCTCCCCTCTAAACACACAAATATACCGGAGGACATTATTCTTCCCTCCCCCCCTCTCCCCCACATACAAATATATCACAGGACATTATTCTTCCCTCCCCTCCACACACACAAATATACCGGAGGACGTTATTCTTCCCTCCCCTCCACACACACAAATATCACTATTTAACTATATCTTTCCCTGCCCTCCCCAAAGTGAAATACACCATAGAGCAATATTCTCCCCCCCTCACCAAATTTATTCCGTCAGAAACAGTTAGGCTCGGGTACTTTTTTCCACATGGATAACTTGGAAATCCCTTTCTAGGTGGACCGTATTCGGAGTAACATCCAAAGACAGAAAATACTGAGAAAGTAAGCGAAAGCTCTTGTCAGTAAGCTGTATACTACACTAACGGAGGTCTATTTGATTGAAGCGAATTTATTTCTATGTTACTTCCTTTTTGAGATGAAGAACTTTGATGTTTTTGCTCAAAAGTTATTTGCCAGAAGTAGAGTGAAGCCATTTCCTGTCTAACCTAATCCATTCACCAGTCTCCGACAGGAACATAAACACCCAGCTTCCTATTCGTTTATGTGGCAATTGTGATAGTTGAACGAAACGAAATTTGTTTTGATTGACTATTTAGATTGTCAACCAGTAATCTATTGGACAATCCAACAAAGCATGCGCAAAGTGACGGAACCTATTGTATAATGGCAATGTTTATAAAAATTTAGTTACGTCCACCTATTCCAATCTTTCCACAGTCAACCTATTACGGAGACTACCCTGTCGGGGTAGGCGCATGTGAGTTAGATCCAATATCACCGGTTAATAATCAACCAGGATGGATTTTAGTAGCAGCAGGCAAAGAGAACTATCAGAAGTCTTTGGGGTGTGGTATGTGTGTTGAGATTAAAGGAGATGGAACATCAAGCCTCGGAAGTAATGCTGGAAATGACATTCCTATTAAAGGACCTTTTAAAGCTACAGTGGTTGATCTATGTGGAGACTGCAATCAAGGTGATACGCCTAGTATCATATAGAGGCTTTGCACCACTAATGGCAGCCATGACAGGAGGCCTAAGCACAGTATCTTCTTTTTTCTCCTGGGAAAATGAATTCTTTCTTACGTAAATAAGATTTGACCAGATTTTCAATAGTCTCATTGACATGGAGCAGGATAARCAAGACTAAACACTTCGTAGGTCTTCACATCGTATCGCAAAAGATACCATATTGTTTCTCTTCTTGGCGAGTTAATAGCAAAAATCTACTTAAGATATCTACTTAAGTTATCTACTAAGGAACCGCGATGGAGACTATTGTTCATGTATCCTGTCAGGACTGCCATCACGTGATGGTGCAAAGTCTCTACGCGAAAAAAGGGAAGACAACCCAGTTCTAGTAGCGGACACAATTAATGTGCGTTCTTAATTCTATTTCTTTTAGGTGGTTTTGATCTGTTTATCACAGGTAACGGTAAGTGGAAGACATCGTTCAAAGCTATCGAGTGTGCGYCGGTCAGCGGTCAGGACGGGAATATTAAATTCAGATTTGACGGGAGCAATGAATGGTACTTGAAACTGCAGGTGCGAAATTCAAAGTAAGTTTAACTTTCTTCACCCGATGGTTCGTCTACTCATCTTCATGGGCCCGTTTGTACGAGGAGTGGATAGCCCTATCTGACGGATAAATCTTATCTAGTGGATAAATTTATGACAGTATTTGAACTGAGTGAAGTGAAACTTTATCTGAAATCATACGAGTGATTACAAAATTGCAAGACCGCGTAGCGGGAGTGCAGTTAATAACAAGTTTGTTTTCAGACCAAAAGTTCTATTACCAATTAATTATATCTTTTTTGAAATCTCCTGCAATAATAATGTCTTTCACCTAGAAAATTACCTTAAATTTTTTTCTCATTTTTTTGGGGGGGGGGGGCTTTCCCTTCTGAAGTGCTACGATGTGAAGACCTAACCGGGAGACCTACGAAGTGTTTAGTCATATTTTTTCTCTTCCTGGCGAATGAATAGCAAAAATCTACTTAAGGTATCTATTAAAAGTATATTTCTTGCAAGAAAAATGCATTTTTCAAGAATGAAGTTGAAAAATACTTGATGTTTTTCGACAAGAAGTCGTTGTTTCGAGGTCATGAACTCGGCAAAACAAGACTAAACGCTTCTAGTAGGTCTTCGCATTGTAGCACAAAAAACACCATATTTTTTCTCTCCTTGGTGAGTTAATAGCAAAAATGTACTTTAGATATCTACAAGGAATATGTTTCTTGAAAGAAAAGGGGATTTTTATCGTTATTTAGTGCGCTAACTTACCTTTTATCACCAAAAAACTACCCGAATCCGCCATTTTTTTAAAATTCTCGCATAGCTAAAATCCTGTAGAATGCCAGCCACAATGGCCGATTTGATCACGGGACCTCTTAGTGCAAGTCGCCTATTGGATGACCCGATGATAATAGAATTAAACAACGATATAACAGAAATTCTTTTTTTTTTCTAATCCTCACCTTCTTGCCGACCTGTGGAAGTTATTTCAATGTTAAAACATCTCCTGCTCTCGCATTTCTCCTTTACGAACTGCTCATAACATATATACACGAGTGCATATATATATTTGTATTTCTTATTTTTAAGCCTTTTAAACGATTCCTAAACTTATCCATTTTTATATAATATATATTTGTAAAGCGCTTTTGAACCTTGGGGAATTGGCGCTCAATAAATCATAATTATTATCATTATATATATATATATACATATATACTAAAAAATAAGAAAAATTACATAAAGTAAGATTTAAGATAAAAACCAAAACTAAATCAAATATAAAATCATTCTTTAAAGTCCAAATATCATAACTCATAGAAAACTATGATATAAGCATTAATACATAAAAGAATAAATAAGATCAATATCTAGACTAAATAGATAAGATCGCACTGGTCAGAGCTAATTAGATTGCAGGAATCACCAGTCATTTTAAGATGGACATAATTAATTTGATAACAGTACCGACTTATCCACTGCATAATGATATTTCCATCGGATATCGTTATCCATTTTTCGTAGAAAGGTACCTGTTTAACGAAGTGATAATTTTGTGTTGTCACAATCGTGTACATTTTAAACTATAAAATTGACAGAGGCGAATGTATGCGCATGCACTGGAACTTCTATGTAAACTACGTATCACATGTTGACGAAAAACTACCACAGGTATCCCAAGCGATGGATAACTAAATTATCATTACCTATTTTGACATATTTTGTGACAGAGTGGTGACGGTAGGCCTGGAACTTCTCAAAGACAATAAATGGCTTTGCATGCGTCGCGGTAACAACAACCACTTTACAATCAGCCCTGGTCAAGTCATTTTTCCAATCAAAGTACGTCTGACTAGTATCTTCAATGAACAGTTGGAAGCTACAATTACATCACTGGAAAATGATGTCGATATCCAAAGCAAGATACAGTACAAGGGGGTTATAGCAGGTCTGTGTCTACACTAGTTTCAATGAGCTCTGTATGATGTATAATGAGAAGAGGGAGATCATAAAGAAGCCCTAACTAGATAATTCTTTTAAAATTTGCATTAGATAGCAAACCTGAAGACATCAAGTGCTACGGTCAGGGTGGTGTAACTCAAGGTAGTATAGAAATTATAAATTTGCACTGGGAATGATGTCGATACTAAATCGAATTTCTATATAACTTTTAGAAGCAAAGAACAACCCGTTGCCGTCTGCCGCAACACCAGCACCCAATCAAAGCCCCAGTAAACCTGGGCAGGTCTTACCTTCTGCCGCAACACCTGCTCCCAATCAAGGGTCCAGTCCTGAATCCACTTTAACCAGTAAACCTGGACAGGGAGGGTCTTCCCAGCCCTCTCAGACCAATACACAGAAGCCATCAGGGCAAACATCTGAACAAAAAGGTGAGACTTTTTTATCTGGATGATGATAAGGATGATGGTGTTGGTGATGGTGATGGTGATGGTGATGGTGATGGTGATGGTGATGGTAGTGGTAATGGTGGGTGATGGTGGTAGTGATGATGATGGTTGTGATGGTGGTGATGAGGATGATGATGATGACAATGATAGTGGTGGTGGTGGTGGTGATCATCATCATCATAAGGATGTATATTAGTATCATGACTTAAAAAAGAAAAAAGGTTCATTGATCATGGTTGCCTAAGGATTCCTAGACCATTGGTGACAAAGGATCTTTCGTTTAGGAAATTCTCCGTCGGTCGTGGGTGCTGTTATGACCTCTCGCTCAAATGCGCATAAGCATTTGAGTGAGAGAGTCTTCTCTTCTTCGCTATAAGGGTAGGATGCATGCGCCCCAATACATATAGATAAGATTTCACATACCTCTGATGATGTTAATGACTGTGTCATGGCAGAGCATTCTGATTGGATGCTAGGATTTGTCTTGCTAAGTCGTGTTTGGTCTAACAGTCATAAGTATAACTGCATCCTTTTTTACAAGAAAATATAACATCAATTATGGACGTCAGAGTTTTGCAATACACATAAGCCATTTCGGTGATTGATATAACGAAAGATACATAGACCAAATCCAGTCTTCGACAAGATGTTATCCAGCATGGCAGCTATGACGTCATTTGACGTTTGTCCTTATTCCACCCTTTGGTAGCTTTGAGAACTGTCATTGAGAGGACACTTTAAATTACTCTAGCTAGTAAACGCAGACACGAATACTTTGGTAATGAAAATTATATATTAAAGATAAGGATTTTGTCTTCTCGGGTTGAGAATATCTTATTTTGCTTCTCTCATTTGTAAGATATTCCCTCACCACTCGAAGATAAAATCCTTACCTTCACGCGACCATGTAATATCTTATATTTCTCTTCCTTAAGATGTTTGTAAAGAAAGGGCAAACGGTCTGTATCCAGACGAGAGCGACTGCCATGCATTCATAGTTTGCAGCAATGGAATAACATACAAAAAGACATGCCCAGCAGGGCTGTTGTATAATAGAGACTTGAAGGTTTGTGACTGGGCAAGAAATGTTAATTGCAGGGAACTTACGATGTAAACTGAGCGAAAACACCAAGACACCATTTGAAACTGGTTGTACTCCACATATCTACCGACCGAGTTAAAGCCTTTATAAATGTACTTATGGCGTAAGGAAGATATCACAGATTTGTTAAATGGTAACGTTGATTTAATAAAAAAAACCCCTAGCGATTGCTTTTTTTYCTCATTAAAATGAGAACTCAGTTTTATCATTAAGGCTGAAGCATCATTATCGATATAAAGAGGTCTGGGGAAGCATCACTTACGTCACGTACTAAGGTTCAAAACCATAATTTCGAGCACGAATGAGTGGAATCTGGCAAAATTAACTCACACGGGCGTCCTAAATAGTAAATTTGTCAGTAAATGATATAATCTTTGATTTAAGAACGAGAGATGGTTTAGTTCTGGAGTCGAAAATTAGTAGTACAGTTTTAAAACGTTTTAGATTTGCTATGACTATATATTTTTTAAAGTATGATCACAAATCGCCCAAACACCTAGATGACTTTGAAATAATTGCTTTTGAAAAAGAAAAAAAGAAATCTCATCTGATAAGTGAAGAGTAATCTACAGGTTCAATTCTATTGGCTGCAGACGTTCGATGTTATTCTTTGAATCATAAATCAGAAGAAAAAGATCAAGTCTTGTCTTGTTTCTAGGTCAACACCTGAACAGCTGTGTTGTTTTGCCATGACTGAATTTTTAACTCAAATCTCTAAAAGCCCATTTTAAAGTTCTGTATATTGATACGGCGATACATTCAAAGTTGGAGCGAGCTTTTTCTACATCAGGAAAATTTCAGATGTTAATGTCGTGATTCCTCATTTAGAATGAATTATACAGAACCTCGATTAAGTTTCTTGGATGCCGCCCTGAAATCAAGGCCGATTGCTCTTATTGCTTTCGAGAGTGTAATCTTTGCAATGTTGGAAGTAATCACACTTATAGGCAATTTCATGACTATGTATCTTATCTTTAAACGGTCAGGCCTACGTGGGACTCCTACCAACCTCTTGATTGCATCGTTAGCGGTCTCTGACTTTACCATGGGAGCATTCTCAATGCATTTATTGGTAACTGTTTTGATAACTTCAAAATGGCCTTTTGGCAATGGTATCTGCCAGTATCAAGGTTTTATATCAATTGTTCTTGCAGCAGCTTCGACGCAAACTTTAGCATGGACTGCCATCAATCGCTACTTTAGGGTTGTCAAGTCTACTCACTATATTCGACTTTTTAGCCTGGACAAAACCAAGCTGATAATGTGTCAAATCTGGATCGCGTCGCTGATAGCCCCTTTACCTTATCTCTTGGCGGGTTACCAGTTTGTCTTCCATCCTGGAAAGTTCTTTTGTTATCTTGACATCGATATTAGTTGGTTCACAGCTGTGTTAGTGGTGGTCTACGTGGGTCTACCCTCAACCACCATCTTTTTCTGTTACTTCAAAGTTTATCAAATGGTTCGCAGGCACAACAGCCGACTGTCGCAGTATCGCTCAGGCGCTTCTGGAGGAATTAAGATGACTAATGAAGAGATACGAACCACTCATACTTTATTTGTTATCGTTATTGTATTCATTGCATGTTGGACGCCAGTTCTAATCATCGACATTATAGATACTATTGACGGGAAATGGTCACTTCCTCGTGCAGCATACACCTTGTATACTTTCCTCGCGACCATTAGCAACGCAATAAATCCTTTCATTTATGGACTCATGAATCCGACGCTAAGAGGAGGGTACTTAGATCTACTCCAGTTTATGCGCCGGAAACCTGGAGGTAAAAAGTACAAATTGAGAGGAGAAAGAAAAAGACTTCCAGTACGAAATTGCAACACTGTTAAAGGACTGATGAACGAGTTAACCACCTTGAAATCCTAGTGTTATCAGATTGTCGGCCAGGCTAAAAAAATGAAAGAACACGTAAATTATTATTCTTTCAATCTTCCATTGGTACTTTTCTCTTTCCTCGTGGTTAATTTTAACATTTATTTCTTTTATGGAAGAATAATGCATCCCTAGAACCAGATATAATAAAAATTCTGAAACATTTGAGGGTTTTAACAGCCACATCGAAATAGACTGAAAATCAAGGAGGAAAAAACTACTATTTTCACTTATTTGAAAGGAGAAAATTAGGATACTAGTATTTAGTTTTTTTTTGTTTTGATCAGTTTTGATGAATAAATAATTTGGTGGATAAAAATTCAAGGTTTTGCAAAAAAATTTTCAAGTTCACTCCAGAAAAGCACTTGAATGTTGTCGGATATGAATATATTAGTGGCAGCGAGAGAGATGACAGTATCAACATTATACGATCTTTTTGATTCATTAAGATACTTTGAAACACTGGAAATTTCTATAATATTTCAGCCTTTTCAGTGATTTTCCATGTAAAAAAGCGTTGTTATGATCTATATTGACAATCAATTTAAATTCTCAGTGGGTTTAAAAATCATTATTTTGCGTTTATGAATAAGGTAATATCAATCTCTAAATATATAACCAACAGTAGCGGTGTACATAGCTGTGTCCATAGTAAATAAAACTGTACAAATATACACACTGTAAGTACGCATGCGTAATGACATGACATAAATTGATCGAGGTTATTTACCGTCCAGAAAGTCCGGATAGAAAAACCCTGTGCCCGAAGTCTTGCTGTTGTTGTTGTTGTTGTCGTCGTCGTTTTTGTTGTTGTTGTTGTTGTTGTTGTGGTTGTGGTTGTGCTGTTGTTGTTGTTGTTGTCGTCGTCGTTTTTGTTGTTGTTGTTGTTGTTGTTGTGGTTGTGGTTGTTGTTGTTGTTGTGACTGTTTAGCAATTCGTTATCCCAGGATACCGGACCTTGGTCGGCAAAAATTGTAAAGACTGTCCGTTGATGCAACCAATGAGAGCGCGCGATTTTTAGGATACCTGATTGAAAGGAAAAAAAATTCTGCACACAATCGTTTTTATCTTCTTGTTTGTATTTCACAAACCCTTGAAAATCCCAAAGATTGAATAATTTTTGTTAAGTACTTTTGTACTCTTAATTCGATCCACTTAAAGGCTTACAACTTTCCTAATTGCTTATTAGCGATTTTTAATTAAGCAATAGAATACAGTTTTTAAAATAGAAAGTAATCAAGCAAATTTGTTTAAGCGGTAGGTCTTGTTACGATTACGGTTGCTAGATAAACAGCAACATTCACTTATTTTTAGAAATAAAACATGTTTCTTTAACCCAAACATGTTTTTTAATCCAAACATTCACTAGCCGTTCAGGAGTTAGAGGAGTCATTCAATGATTGGAAACTGGTTTCAAAAATGAGTAACCTGAGAATCAGGCCTTCGGGGGCGAGTTTTTAATTTTAGACTAATTAGCAAAAAGCATATGTCATTTGAGAGAGCATCTCAATATTAGTGAGCCTGGCAGATTTGAACATGTTTAAATGAAAAGAATCAGAATTGCAAGCTTTCAGAAGTGTCATGAAAATTTTACAAATAGATGTATTGGTTGATACCAGGGACTGTTATGATAATGGCTAAATAAATGTTTAGCTAATAAAGATCGTGGAGATGGGTAAGAAAAGAGTTTACTGTTTGATAATAAAACTGTGTATGTATAACACGAACGACATGTCTAACTCCCAAAGGAAATGTCAAATACACAAGCCAAATAAAATGACACGTCATAGATAAATATAACAAGATGCTAACGAGAAGTCACGTTCACTGATCATGACTAATGCATGTGAATCAGTAGATGATAAGGTAGTAAAAAGTAAAAAAATAGTGCAATAAGAGAATTCTTTGAAGAATAAAAAAATAACAAAAATAAGAATCACACTTAACCAATTATCTCTGAATTATATTTTCATTATGTTTGCAGTGTTTTATGATAGCGTAGGTCGCTAGGCAACCATTCAATCTACGCCGAAAAACTGTCAGCTTTCGATAGTTCTATAAAAATTACTTGTACATCTCAAGAAAACATTAAATCGATTGCATTACTTTTTCTCATGGCTGCAAGTGGGTTTGCTTGCTTTCACTAGCGACGGAATCGGAGTCGCAACCGATTCTGACGAAATGAAAAATCAGAAAACGGAGTCGTAATCGGAGTGGAAGCGCTTAGGAACTTGCAGTTTAGAGCACGAACTGCTTCCGACTCTGACTACTACGATTCCGATTCAAGGCAAGTGAAAACCAGCGTTAATTACAGTTTTCTCTGTAGAGATAGCTATTCCCCCAATTATTTTTTAATTAAATCGTGTGGTTTGCGCCTCAAAGGACGATATCAGTCTTTTATTAACATTAAGCAATCTTTTTTTTTTCCAGTTCAGAATTTCCAAGCTTTGTTACGACTGCAGAGCCATGTATTCAGCTTTCCTTTCGGCTTCTACCAAATCTGGCCTGTGGCCGAGACAAACAAACATTTTTAATAAGGTATAAACAGCAAAATGATATTCAATGTCACCTGCTAAAATTAATTTTTTTTTGAAATGAAAATCTACTCGCCTTAATAAGAGATGGCTTCAAAATTTGATATCCCTTTTCTATAGGTCCTTTTGTACTTTTTGTGCTTGAATACTGATTAGTTGAGGTAAAACTTAACGATCATAACGGGGGAAAATCCACGCTTTTGGACTTTTAATTGCATAATCGAGCGACAAAAAGTCACGGTTATAAAAATTATTATTACCTAAGCACGCTAACCTGGATAAAAAAGAAAAGAAAAAAAGAAAGAAAGAAAAAAAGAAAAAGAAAAAAACGAAAAACGGAGCTTTTTAATCAATGACAATTGAATGGAAATGAAAGGACTTAAATTCATTTCAAATGAAATCTGCAATTAGCTGGTGTTTATAATATATGTGCTCAAATACAAGAAACATAACCATAGGAACCGCAAGGGCCAGTAAGCACCGTCATTGGTAGAACATTTGTCATCTTCGTGTTAATTCGGACAAGAAATTCCGCCCCGACTGAATTTCAACTTTGACTCGTAAGGTGATTTAGTACATGCATGGATGTTTGTCAAAGATGGTATATAGTCGCCCTAAACTCACCGTTGAGATAAAGATTTGAAACACAGAAAGGTTTAACCACTCTTATCTGTGGACCGAGAAAACGTGTTGCACTGTCAACAGAATAAGAAAATCCTTTGATATCAACTGAGTGGGCATCGTTTCAGCTGCGCTACGAATTGTCGTGTCCGATTCAGGTCATTTATATCAAGATAAAAGGCTAGCTCTCGAACTGTAGTATCCTCAAAACCACGAAACGCAGAACAACAACTGTTTGAGCATATGAACGTAACATAAAGAGATTAAGATGAACAGTACATGGGACAGCCTGAGCAGACTTGATTACGAACTCAAATCAAGAACGACCGCCCTCAAGGTTTTTGAGAGCACCGTTTATTCTTTTTTCTTTTTTAGTGCAGTTGTTGGAAACCTACTTACAATATATGTGGTCTGGAAATCTAAATCACTGCGGACCATACCCAATGTCTTTGTAGTTTCTCTAGCATTGTCGGATCTTGGTATGGGAATTCTCTCGATGCATTTACTCCTCACAGTTCTCATCACTTCCGAATGGACCTTTGGGGACATGGTGTGTCAGTATCAAGGCTTCGTCTCGGTTTTAATGGCAGCAACCTCGACCCAAACCTTGGCTTGGATGGCAGTGAATCGATTCTACAGTGTCGTTAAACCCCAAAAATATCGAACGCGTTTCACTCGCAGAAACACAATTTTCATTACAGCATCGATATGGAGTCTCTCCTTATTTGCACCAATTCCCTATCTTGCCTCCGGACAGCGATTTCTGTTCAATCCTGGCAAATTATTTTGTTACGTAGTGGTTGATTCTGGTTGGTTTACGGTGTTCCTTGTTACAATCTTCGTTGCCTTTCCTTCCAGCGTCATATTCTTCTGTTACGTGCGCGTGTTTCAAGCCGTTCAACAACACAACAAGAAAGTCCTCCATTCTAGAGAGAAGACTCTTAGTGTACAAGATATTAAAATTGCACGAACGCTGTTTGTAATCGTGGTTGTTTTCATGATATGTTGGACTCCTGTCTTGATAATGGACTTTATCGATACGATACGCGGAGACTACAGCCTTCCTCGAGGGGCCTATACTTGTTACACTTTTCTTGCAACATTTAGCAGTTCCATTAACCCAGTCATATATGGAATCATGAATCCTAAATTTAGGAAAGAATATCTACGAGTTCTGCTATGCAAAGCGATTCGGGGCGTACAAGTAGAGACAACAGCTGTGAGTGCTGCACAGCGCACAAAAGAATTGGTATAGAATTAACACTTACAAAATGAAATTACTGAAAACGTTTCTCAATGAATACGTAAGTAAAGGAAAATGCATATAAAGGCGGCTGGACAAATTGATAAATGATTACTTGTAAATGCATTTCAACTCTTGAGATAGGCACAAAGACATGATAACGGACAAGCTTTGATTGAACTGTGACTCTTAACACAAGTCATGCAATCATGAACTAAAACTATTAGATATTCCTTTCAAAATTTATTTGTTATATTGTTGCTATAATTTAATAATAATTTGAGCAAGATTCAAGAGAACTCGTACTTAATAGAACTCGTATTTAACTGAAGAACGATTACTTGTTATTGTCAATAATAATGTCGCAAAGACTCACGTTTTCAGGTGTAAATAATATTATAGTGAATGTGGTAGTGATTTGTCCATTTATATACATGCCTTGCTGATGTTGCTGAGGAATTATTGGCTGACGTTTGCGTCCCAGAAAGTAAAGATAAAAATGATGATAATGAGATTAAAATCTAACCTCTAAATATGCCGACTCAAATTTATTAAACGTCTTACTTTATATATAGTTACTAAAATAAATAAAACAATAAAAATACATAATTTCATTCTCTTGAATGTAGGAAGACTCCTAAGACACTTGTTATCAGAGTTAAGCTATTAGTCATTACTTAGTTTCGGGCGTTCTATGATTCATTTTTTCTCATTCTTTCATTTGTATTTGTATGCATCACCAACAGCATAAGTTGAACTAGGAAACATTTAAAATCATTTGCTTTTCTTTTCAGTTCGAAGAAAGACCTTTTTAAATGAAAAATTATGCAGATATATTTCAATTAAAAATAGTAAAATTGTTAGCAAATTAACAACTCAATTGGTAATAATACAAATGACAATTAAACATGCACGTGAAACAGAGCACCAGAATCTGGCAAAGACGTACATTATTAGCCGAGATGCAGGTGCTGAACTGTGAAAAATTGCTTGATAAAATGCTAAAGTACATTTCTCAGACCTTTACAATGTAGCTAGTGTTTTTTCACTAAGCGAATTTATCAAGTAACTATGCCTTTTTCGAAAATGGTTTTCAAATCCAACCTGAGACGATAGGCTTTAGGCGATAAGCGCGATAGGAAATACCTCATTTCAAGGTCCAAGAATAGCGCGATTGACTCTGTGTTCTTTGTTATGACCATTTTAATCAAGAACACGAAGGCTAGTTTTCAAATGTTTTGTATTGTTTGAAGTCGACGAAAGCATGTTTTAAAGCCTCGATGACTTCTCATTTTTCCCAATTAGCACCTTCTGGCATTAATTTTTTTTAAACAGTTTTTCTGTTTTCCAAACGCATGAAATAATTTGGCTGTGCTGATAGTTAGAAGAATCAGTGAGAGGCATCGAGAACCGCAAATCTGTCGTTGGGATGAGTTTTTTCGAGGAACATTTTTTTTCAGAAGGAAGTGCGAAGTCGACCGAATAAATAAATTTATCCTTGAAATTTCCAAATTTAGGGAAAAGCAATAATTCCCTGGGTTACGTTTGAGCAGGTGTGCTAACATGCTCCTACAATCTTTCATTCTAGTTATAATGAGAGCTTGTGGATTATATATTGCTATTACTAGGAAGTTAAACTGGCCATTTACTGACCGACCTGTCTAACGAATCAATTGAAAGTGTTATTAAGTAGGATGGATGGCTTACATTGCACGATTTGATTACAAACGAAGTTGAGCAAATGTTATTATTAATCCGAGTCAGTGTGAATGCTGTCATGGAACCACCGCCAACATTGTTGACAAACGTTATAACACCCTCGCCATTCATTTTTCATAGAGTCTTTCTTTCTTTCTCATTTCCTTAAAGTGCCTATCACCCTTTTGACAATATTCACAGTATTGATTCTACATAGGGTAAGATGTGAAATAACACGAAAATATTTCATAGTTTGAGTGCGGCTTCTTGAAATTATAAAGGTTTTTCCATGCCATATGCTAATGCTATGACGTATGAGGAGTAATCATTTAATATACAAAACATTACTGGCACACATAAATAAAATTTGAAATACGTCATTGATTGCAACTTAGTTTTCACATAGAAGCCGGTGTTTCGAATTACGAGGAACAACAAATAACCATAAATACCTCCTCATACGTCACAACATTAGCATATGGCATGGAAAAATCAACACTGAGAGTATTGTCAGAAGGGTGATAGGCACTTTAAGAGATATTGGGCTGAATTAAACTATTTATTCCAAATCCTTGGATAATGTCCCTTAATTTTCAATCACCAAGCAAGCTTCTGTAGAGACTAGATAATAACCTAACAAAAATTGTACATGAATATTACTCCATTAACGTTTTTGATTGGTCGAGACAAATTTCGAGTCGCATAAATAGTTTTTCTACTTAATTTGGAACTTTCTTGCCACTGCTAAAGAAATTAAGTTGAGCATTTACATGATGCAATTTCCAAAGTACTCGTGTTCCCCTCTGTACGGGCGCCACAGGACGAACGTTTATCGTTTATCCTTCTGGTTCTAAACAGCTGTCTAGAATTATTTACAAGGAAAAATATAATCAGTTCAGTTAAAATGAAGCAAAAGGTGAACAGTACGAAAGTTATCGCAAACAACATATTTTGACCGACACTACAAACCTTGATGACTAAAATTATGGAATAGCTCAATTTCTGTAAAGCAACCTTAGCGATGATGGTATCCTCAATAAAGATAACCCTTTTTATTCTAAAGTGGATAAGTGATCCGGACAACAGAAAGGACATATACTTCAGGTAGAAATTTAATATGTGGCTGCTCTGTCATCTAATGTTTGCTCGGCTTGCGAGGCAATTGACAGTGCTATTCTCGTAGACTAGTCGTACACTCGTCTACTGAACCTTTTACTCGTTTTTATTCTCACATGAGAGAAAAAAGGAAAGACTTATCCCTAGTAGCTTTACACCTTTATAATGCTACATAATCTCATAAGAGAATTTATTTAAGACAAAATACTAATTAACTCATTATTACTATCTTGAATCCCTAAGTGCATCAGGATATGATCCATTTTGTTATCACACAGGCGGACTGATGAATATCACCAGTGTTAGACTAGTTCCCGCGTATGATCTAGCTACTGATAATGTTCTTGGTAAACATTAACTTTTATTTACCAAGTAATGTCAATAATAAATTTATTAAGTGGGATTTAGTGGATGTGGGATCGTTTTATATGCCGCATGAAATTAATTATGATGCATTTTATGGGTATATTGTCAAATGAAGCAAAGAAACGACAAGAAGTAAATAATTTCGTTGCACTGAACTAGATCTTTGAAATAAGTATCAGCTCAGTAAAATGTGCGATGATAAATGTACCTGATAAATGATCCGCCACAAACGTAACGGAGAACTAATTTTTAAACTAGAAACTAAATTTACATTTCGTGATATTTTGTATTTTTTATATAAATAGAATATTGTTATGAACAGTGTGGAAATTAAATATATAAATCAAAAACTAAAGGTTTGTGACTAAACAACACACGAGTTATATTTACCCCAAGCATAGTTAATTGAGGGGACCTCAATTAACTATGCCCCAAGTAACGAATAATTTACAAACAAATAATTAAAGTATAAACATTTAAACCATAGGCAAAAAAGGTTACTGCTGCAGTTGGCTATAAAATAAATCGATGCGTCATTGAGAAACTGAATTAATGCTAACATCTGTTAATAGCCAGGAAGAAAGATAAGGGAAGGAGACATGTAAAGATATATGTATATTAATCAGATATGTTAATGAGAAATAGAAGAACGGCAGGTGTACGCGTAAAATCCGCTAAGTAAATATCTACGAATGAGACGAGAAGAATATATAACTGATAGATAAATCTTGCAACTAGAGATAAACGAAAATAGGGTAAAGAACTTGGAAAATTGAATCAGCTCTCACGACTTTGTCCGAACATAGGAAAAACATAAAAGATTTTGAGGTTGTTTTTTTAGTCAAGAACCTGCCTCGGTTAATGGTCTTAATCACAGTGATATCACAGTCTCATCTCGTAAAAACTTCAATTTTCAAGAAAAGAAAAGAAAACCTTTGAAAGTACACCTCCATCATGAACAAGTCCTTTGATTCCCTGGAGATATATTCTGTTGATTTAGCCAGTCGATCATTAGGTCTGATGATATTTGAAATCACTTCGTTTGCTGTTCTACAATTCATGACCATCACAGGCAACGCTTTAACAATGTACATCATCTGGAAAGCACCAAAACTTCGCTCAACCTCAAATTATTTTATAGCTTGCCTCGCTATTTCTGACCTAGGAATGGGCATTCTTTCAGAACATTTGTTGCTTGCAACACTAATAGTATCAAGATGGCCGTTTAACGAAGCGGTCTGCCAGTATCAAGGAATTGTTGCCATAACAATGGCTGCTGCGTCAACTCAAACACTCGCCTGGACAGCCTTGAATCGTTACTTTAAAATCGTGAAAACAAAATATTACACTAAGGTTTTTACCAAGTGGAAGCTGATTGCGATTCTGTCATTTACCTGGATCTCTTCGATCCTAGCGAACTGCCCGTACCTTTTAGCTGGATACAAGTTCGTTTTCCACCCAGGAAAGTTCTTCTGTTACTTGACGTTAGATGTGACTTGGTTTACTGCTTTTTTGGTTTCCATTTATGTGGGAATTCCCTCAGCTGTCATCGTGTTTTGCTATTTCAAAGTATTTCAGACTGTCAGAAGACATAATTCTAACATCTCGAAAACCAGAGCAACAGGTGTCCTGAGTGTTGAGGAACTGAAAGTCACTCGTACTCTTTTCCTAATCGTGGTTGTGTTTATGGGCTGTTGGACACCGATACTGATTATGGACTTGATTGATACTGTCCGTGGAAGATGGTCTCTATCCCGTTCAGCATACGCTGCCTACACCTTCCTTGGGACAATGAGCTCTGCTGTAAATCCTTTGATATATGCATTTGGTAATCATGCTTTTAAAGAGGAATATAGGAAAGTTTTAAACTTTTCATGGGGGTCGGTAAGGAAGATGTTTTGCTGGGTTAGGAACGGAGCACATGTTGGTAGTGTAAGATCTTTAGCAATTGAACAACCAAGACATGTCRACGTTAACAAAAACATTTCAATTAAAGTCCAAAAAGTAAACGACATAAAAGAAGTTTGTCATGGGCAACAGGAGAAGTTATCAGTTGAGCTTAACTTGTAGCGTATCTTTTGTAAGGAAGAAAACACTTACAGTACTGACAGAAAGACAGCACTTGAAACTCCAAAGTAAAAGAAACCGGTAATTATCATTTCTAAAGCACTTGACAATAGAGAATATTGCTAGGTTTTAATCACTCAGCTGGTCAAAGTCTTTGAATCTCATTATCTGCCTTAAAGTGTGGTCAAACACTGACTCATCACCATGTATTGTCAACCAGAAAGAATTCTATTAAAACTTTTTATTCAGCTGAGAACATTCTGCTTGAAAAAGGACATGCATGACGTCGAGGAAGTGAAATAAGGCAATTAGGTGGTGCATTTAATAATTCATTTCTAATTGTGTTTCATTTAGCGTCATTTCATTTGTCTCATGCGGAATGTTCATGAGCTGAAAATTTAGGCAATATAGAATGACAATATAATTTGAACACAAAAATCAGAATAAAGTAAAATAATAACGTTTTATAGATTTCAGCTAGATATCATAATGAATAGAACTATTTAAACAATGCTGAAAAATTAATAAAAGATTTGTCGCTATTTAGTATTGCATTTTGAAGAATGATGATATTTTTTCATGGATTTATTGTGCACTTTATCTTGAATTATAGTCAAATATATTTTAAGGGTCATTTGATTTTAAAGTGTTTTTCCTAACGACGCAAGTGTGCTGTCAAAAATGAACAAAAAAGGCCGACGTCAATGTTTGTCCACTCCAGTGAACCGTCAATTAAATTTATTTACGCAAGTGATAGCTTCACATTCGTTCCTGTGTGAGTCAAGCAACGATTTAATTCCAACTCATATCTACTCATATCTACTCATATCGGGCTCAATAAAAGTAAACAATAATCCAAGGTAGGTATTCACAACGGATATATAGAGTGAATATGATAGTCAGCAATTAATGTTCTATTGATATAGTAGAAAGCGTATGCACAACTATTAAAGGTATGGTATTTAATAACCTTCAATGATGAAGTAGCTATGATATGTTATAACCTTCAATGATGAGTAGGTAGCTTTAGGACGAAAATCATTTTAATATTGAAAATCGTTTTCAAACGCTTTTTAAAGAGACTTTCCGTTTAAAAAGAATGTGATTAAGATGTATTTGTTATAACGAGATGGAGATTGTAATCACACTTTTCCTATTAAAGTATTTATACATGTACCGCGTACGGTAACGTTTAGATATTACCTTGATCACTAGCATTTATTCTTTATTTATGTACACTGAAAGCCTATTCTCTTGGTGCTTATGACTATATACTGATTTAAAATAAGATAAATAAATAATAAAATAGTGAAAAAATTAAGAGACGAAAATGATGATATGATAATATGATTCACTTTATCCTTCACCATTTTCATTTACCCTATAACGCATCCTTTTACTGAAACTGTTTTTTCCGCATTAAAATACAGACTATCTGAATCAGACGGATGAACGGAACTTGTCTCAATGCAAACGATATGTCGTTACCGCAATGAAGTCAGAATATTGGCCTTTTTATTGGTTATTAAGTCATTTCCGGGTGTACTCACGTTTTTGTCCACAATGCTTACTCTTGCCTGCTTCAATCGATAATTTTAGCCTGCAAGTTGTTACATGTTTACTAATATAATTTTTTTTTGTTATATTGAGCCTAAATAACGAAAGATCAGATTGGAAACAACAATGAACAAGTCCCTGGATGCACTTGAGAGGTTTTCCATCGAGTTTCAAAATCGACCATTGGGTCTGGTGATATTTGAAAGCATGGCATTTGCTGTTCTCTACTTTATTGCCATCACTGGACATACATTAACCTTGTACGCTATCTGGAAGTCACCAAAGCTTCGTACGATTTCCAATTATTTTGTAGCTTGTCTTTCTATTTCCGACCTAGGAATGGCCATTCTTGTCATGCATCTAGTTCTTGCGACACTAATAATGTCTAGATGGCCGTTCAATGAAGCGATCTGTCAATATCAAGGAATCGTAATCATTACAATGGCGGCTACGTCCATTCAGACACTTGCTTGGACAGCTGTAAACCGTTACTTTAGAGTAGTGGATACGTCGAGCTACTTCAAAGTATTCACCAAGAAAAACACTGTTTTAATGATGATATTTATTTGGATATCTTCGGCGTTGGCAACTTCTCCTTATCTTTTTTCGGGAAAAAAATTTGTATTCCATCCAGGTAAGTTCTTTTGCTACATGGATCTTGAAATCAAATGGTTTACGGCTGTCCTAGTGATAATGTACGTAGGAATTCCCTCATCGGTCGTCGTGATTTGCTATTTCAAAGTATTTCAGACTGTCAGAAGACATGAGTCCAACATATCGAAAACCAGAGCAACAGGTGCCCTGAGTGTTGAAGAACTAAAAGTCACTCGTACTCTTTTCATAACCGTGGTTGTGTTTATTGGCTGTTGGACACCGATACTGATTATGGACTTGATTGATACTGTCCGTGGAAGATGGTCTCTATCCCGTTCAGCATACGCAGCCTATACCTTCCTTGGGACGATGAGCTCTGCCGTCAATCCTTTTATTTATGGCCTCAATAATCCAAGGTTTAGGAAAGAGTACCTTAGAATTCTGTTGCGTCGACCGCCAGAACTTAGCGTGAACGTGCCCTCCTACCTTAAGAGACAAATGAGCCTGATTAATCGAAAAACATCTGCAACGGCACATTTGACTAGTGCCGCGCGCAGACTCCGAAATGATGAAAGCTGTCGAGGAAGTTCCGGCCGAATATAAAAAAGACTTCTAARAATAATTTTAAAGAATTATTTGCCGAAGACGAATTGAATATCGGGAAGATCGGGTGGAACATAGTACAATGGCTGGTCAAGTAGACTTGCAAATCCAATTGCTCTAACCTCCTCCGCAGGCATCTCCTTGGCTATTTTTGCTTCTTGGGCTTCCTGTGGCAAAAAGACAGAGGGGGAAGGGGGAGGAGAGTGCGAAATAGAAGAAGAAGAGGTGCCTGCCAAAAATGAACAACTAGCTGAAATTTCGCGCATGTTGATTGCGCATACCAAAAGATCCTAAGTATGAGAGGGTTGGGTGGATCTGTTCGAAGAAAATAATATAAGGGGCGATGTATAAGGAAAGTTTGTGTAGGGAAAGTTGCGTTGTTCAGTCTTGTTGAAAGTGTATTAGAAATCTTTGCCATCACATCTACAAAATATATAGTGACCAGGTACGCTGTGAATGCTGGAAGAGCGTTCGAAAAGCAAATTGAAGGGAGTTCTCCATACGAAGCAGCCCCGGGGGGGTACTATCCCCAACTTGGGTAGGGGTGTGCCGCCAGGACCTCAAAACCCTGACCCTATCCCAGACCTAAAAATAACATCCAAGACATGCAATATTTAAAAAATTAAACGAGTGAACTTACGAAGCAGCGCTCGTTACGAAGTTTTCGGTTCTTCAACCTCCTAATCATTCTACTTATGTTCACCGACCTGCGAACCTTTTAAGGTAAAAGCTTTTGGAACTCAAAAGTCAAGTTTTTGACTTCGCTAGAATTAATTTCTATCGCTAATGTGTGACTTGAATACTAAATATCTGTGAACAAATCCACCTTAAGTTCCATATAGGGCTCTATATGGAACTTAAGGTGGATTTGATTAACCATATTAACTCTGGACGGTTGAATATTACTGACGTAAGGAGCATCACGCGGTCGCGTTGTTGTTGGTATAGTACAAACAGAGTCAAGTACGGAACGGCCGTTAAAGAAGTAACGCTCATAGGCTATTCAAACCGTTTGACCTTTGGAATGAAAACGTCAACCACATTCGGTGTCCTAGTGCCCTTGTCCGTACACTTCGATTTTGGGCAGGCTACTCCTCTCGCTTTTTATCTCCCTCCCTAGTCCCCATTCCTCCTCTTCTCTCGTTTCTAGTTCTCTGCCTTAAAATGTAATACAGGGATCCCAACAGAGAATATAGAATATATGGAGTAGACTGCGGAGGAGGCTAAACTCGCTCTTTCCGCTGGGAGTTTGAAATTTGGGCTCAAAATTACAAAGAAAGCAGCCGAAACAAGCAAAGTGCCAAACAATTTGTTGAAATCTTTTGAAAGTCCTCGTTCAGAAATTAGGAATAGACAGGGAATATTAACCGAGACTCGAGTCTTCGAGCGGCGAAGTATGCAAATATTACCCGATATCCACTGAGCCTGAGGCAAACAATCGTTTTAGTATTCTTAACACAAGGGATTTTAATAAATAGCAGAGAGAGTTTTTAAAAAATTTTTATTTATACCTGCAAGCGGCACAAATTAACTCGACAAACGAGCGTGCGCGTGCGCAGTTTGCACCTGTGGATATAACATGATAAGACAAAAATTGTGACCAATGAGGGTACCGGATTTATAACATTCACTTGTATAAAAATACTACACTGGTTTATTGCCGGAGAGACATTGAATAGAATAGAATAATTTATTTAATGCCACTAACAGCTCCTCTACGAAAACTTTCAAACAACTTCTTCTTTACAAACACCACTTTTCCACACTTGACACTACATTTGACGTTGACAGTACCAGAACCTGGAAGACAGACTGTACTAAATGCCGCTCATACAATATCACCCGTTGCTCGTAGTTTTTTATAGATTTGTCAGTATTTTTCTGTTTTTAATTTTCTTATTAGTATTCAGTGTTTTTTTTCATTCCCTCAACTAGTATTTTCCTTAATTTATTTTTAAATGATTATTAGAGTGCAAATAATATAATCGTGAAACTTTAGTAATACTAAATAGCACAATTTTATGCAAATTCTATATTGTTTTCTATTGTTTAATTAGCACTATTTTATACTATTTAGTAATTAGTGTTTCNTTTTAGCTAGTTATCTCTTATTAAGTTGTCAGGCACTTCAGGGAACCCCAGGCTCGGGATATTGGGCGACCACTCCCCGTGTTAGTGTTATATTATATATATATATATATATATATATATAATATAACACTAACACGGGGAGTGGTCGCCCAATATCCCGAGCCTGGGGTTCCCTGAAGTGCCTGACAACTTAATAAGAGATAACTAGCTAAAARCTACTCTTTTCACGGTGTGAAATTTACCCTTCTATCATTACTGTGACAACTTAATAATTATTTTAAATACTATTAAAGATCTACATATATTACAGAAGGAAAAAAAAAGCAGTTATAGTTATCCAGCTAGATCAATTTATTAATATATTTTCAAAAAATAGGAATGGAGCACTTAGCTGCCAGTCAGTCGCTAGTTAGTCGCTAGTCAGTAGCTAGTTAGTCGCTAGTTAGTCGCTAGTCAGTCGCTAGTTAGTTGCTAGTTAGTCGCTAGTTAGCTGTTGCTAGTCAGTCTCTAGTCAGTCGCTAGTCAGCTGTTGGTAGTCAGTCGCTAGTCAATCGCTAGTCGTATGGTTGCCATACTTCGATTCGGTGTATGTGAAAAGGAGTTTTGTAAATACTAAGTATTATAGGAATTTTGTACTACGCTATGACTGCTGCTATTCATGTCATCAGGCTTTGCACGAAGTTTGAGCAAGTTAGAAATATATAAATGCTGGTCCATTTTTTTTTTGCTCATTCGAAAAAGATGATTAATGTTTACTCTAGGAGTCTATGTTCTAAAGTCTGCATATGAATGCAAGTTTGATAACTGACTCATAATCTACGTTATTCCCCATCTTCAATACTCGGTTTTAAGATCGTAATAATTAGCGTTCTCGAGATTTTAGTTCAGAGTTCTACCTATATAAATAGCGGCAGTTATTTTTTTGTATTTCTCTGCTAGCCTCACGCCCAAGTTGGTTTTGAAAGGACTTAATATATTAACCAAACTGGCACTGGCGTCTGAATGAATGCTGATTTAGTTTTCATTACCTTATATATTATTATGAATTTAACAAATTGTATGTAAATTTTCGCGTATAATGTAATTTACAATGGACAAAATTTTGTTAAAATTCGAGTTAATTTCGTGGAGCGTTATTTTCCTAAGAAAATACGTGTGGAAGACACATCAGTCTTGTGTAGCAATTAAATTAATCAAATTATTAAACGCCTCTATCATAACAAAACGAAGGAAACCTATAGCCTGCGTAGCGGAGATTTGGGTAGGGGGGAGGGGGATGAAGGGGAAGGAAACTGGGGATGAGTCCCTCCTCAAAGCGCCGCTACGCACGCTATTCTTGATACACTTGATATACATACTTGAAAGGCATTTCCTTAATGTCACTTATCTTAAAACCGGAATACAAAACTTCGAATGTGTAAATAATAATGAATGTACACTTCCCAAAGTGAGATCAAACATTGATGGTTCAATTCAAAATTCAAAGCAAGCACCCTCCTAAGGAGTATAACCTTCACCTCTCTTCTTCTGTCAAATTAAAAAAAAAACTTTCTACAAATTGAATTTTCGTGTGTACGGAGTTTACTTGTTCTAATTTTATCAGCTTTAATTCAGTTTTTTTGCCGTATGACCACCAGTGTCCCGTAACATTTAATCATCACGTACATTGGTAGCTAATCACATATCATTAAGATTAATTTCTATTTCAATATCAATTTCAATAAAATACTGCACTCGTTTCAGTTTTCTCTCCTCTCGCTTGTACACAGATCTTCTATTACTTTACTAGCAAGGTTGGGAGTTCGTTTTTTTTATTTCCTGACTACATATTGGTTCAGCTGGAACCACATATTTGACATCAACAGTTCGTCGAACGATTGATGAAGAAAAATAAGGGGGAAATGGTAGAACTGAAGGGAAAAAAGAAGAGAGAATGACGAGAAAAGTAAACGAAAAAGGGTTAATAAGTACCCGAGGAAAAAAACTGAGGAAAAACTGAAGAGAGAAAGAAAAGATTGAGGAATAAAKACGAAAAAAGAGAGTGAAAAAAGAAAAAAACGTTATTTCGTGAAAAACTTATTTTAGTATTTTTCTCCGAAGACTCGTATAGTATAGAATGTCCTAATGAGAAAGTCATGTTATCGTCGAACAAACCGACACGATCTGTAAGGTATTGGTTGTCGCTTTAGAGTTAGCAGCAGCAGCAGCTTCCACGTTTACCATCCTCGGAAGATTATTTCTGTTTCGATTTCTTTTGCAACACAGAATTTTCAGATACTCTTTCTTGAAAACAGGGTTCATGAATCCATATATGATCGGATTAGTCGCGCTGCTAACTACTGCGAGAAAGCTATAGCAGGTATACGCTTCTCTGCTCAGTGACCAAAACCCTCTGGAAGTGTCTATTAGGTCCATAATTAGAATCGGTGTCCAACAAATCATGTAGACTAAAAGAACAATAAACAGTGTCCTTGTAATTTTTATCTCTTCAACGTTCAGGTTGTTTTGTGTTCCTCGTGAATTCATAAAGCTGTTGTTGTGTTTTTTGACGACTTGAAAGACACGAAAGTAGCAGAATAAAGTGATATTAGTTGGTATTCCTACGTACAGTATCGCGACGAATGCGCTGTACCAGGCGACATCTATATGTGCGTAGCAGAAGTACTTGCCTGGATGAAAGATCATTCTGTGGCCTGCTAACAAATATGGAGTCAAAGATATGGTAGACAAAACCCAGCCTGAAGTGATGTACATGATGGTAGACCGCATTGTAAAGTACTTTCTATACTTATTGGTCCTGACCACACGGTAATATCGATTAACAGCAGTCCAAGTTAGACTCTGCACAGACGCAAGGCCCATCGTAACAGCTATAAAGCCTTCGTACTGACAAGCAATATCACTAAACGGCCAGTAGGAAAGAGAAAGGACAGCAAAGCACATAGGCATCGAGAGAACACCCATACCGATGTCAGAAAAAGCCAGAGACACAATGAAGAGGTTTGGGACTGTGCGTAGCTGGCGATTACTAAGAACTATGTACAGTGTCAAAGAATTACCTATCATGATGGCCAGCCATATAATGAAAAATGCTCCACTTTCGGCGACGGTTCTGGCAGTGCTACGGGACTGCAAGGCAGCGTACAGTTTCTCAAGTATTAACGAGTTATTCATCCCAGTCGTTGTCGGCCTCTTACCAACTCGAAGGGAATGTTTTACAGTATTTCGGAGCTCCTCAGTATGAATTTAATCTTTAGACAATTGTTCACACAGCGTCTGCAGCTTTTGGGTATCCTGTTATGACTTTTTTGCAGCTGATTGTATAAATTCGCTCTGTTTAAAGTGTCTTAAGCATTGTTATTAAAGTGGTGGTGAGAAATTTGTCCCTGTACGTTATTGAAAAGGACTTTCTCGTTTGGCGTATATATTTGTTCTTGAAATTGAAATGATCGGCAGGAAATAGAATTAATCTTAATTCATCCACAATTTATTGTCATCCTTTGGGAACTGAGTTATTAAACATTGGAAGCTGACGTTAATTTAAGTCAGTTTCCGTTCAGCATTGGTTATGATCAGAAACCTTGGGCAGGTGCATGTAAAACAAGAGTTGTTCTAGACGTACAAAAAAGAAAGAAAACTTGCTGGCTTATCTTAAAAACCTAACAAATTTAGCTTAGCAAGTTAATTGTGGTGTTACTAATCGACCTTAACAAACAATAACCAATTACTTCTGCCAAACACTTACAGGTTTCTATATCAATGGTAATTTTAAATTTAATACTTTTAAGTTTTAAAAAAGTATGGCCAGCGCTTTATAAGGTCATCAAAGGGAGCTAACTGTTAGAGAAAAAACTTTTGCTACATACTAGACTTTTTAAACTGTAAAAATGAAATGACAATGAAAAAATAAAGATAAGTGTCAATGGATGCTGCAAGGTGTTGTGAAATCGCTCTATAGTCTGTCATTTTTGTTTTGTTAAGAAAACATTACGTTTATGAATTTTAGTTATATAAACCGGCGTCTTAAATGAAAATTGGGACGCCCACTTGTACGCCAAGTATTGCCATAAGTTTGAATAAATGATCAGCAGTCTTCAGCAGTGATAAAATACTGGATAATGGAGGACGCTAGCAAAGAATCTAAGGTCGCGGTAAAAGAGAACAAAACCAATACCAGCTACGAATTTAATGCATGGTTGTGATGGTTTCCCTTGATGTCAGGCAAACAAAATTAACTATTATCAACAAGGCAAGGGTTTGTATAATTAGTGAAGCACAGGAATATTCACTATCGATCAGTCATATGTCTTCATCTTGTCTCCGCCGGGGTACTCTTGATTTTCATTAGTTTCCTCTACGAACATGAATATTTAGAGGGAACGGAGTACTATAGCGCATCTACTCGTTATTGCCTTTTTTATTACTACCTAACTCCTACCTAGCAGTATGCGTTTGTTATCGGCATTGTTTATCAGCTTCATGGTGCCAAGAGCGAGCCGCTCATTGTGAAGAGGGAGTATAAGTCATTAGACAAATTTTTGTTCCCGCAGACATGACCATGTTTTTATTGTTTCCCTGTGTTTCACTTTATCTTTTGCAAACCTTCTCACACACACAAGTAATCTTTTGTTTATTTTTTCCCACTTTTGTCTACTCTTTTTCACTAAATTTGAAGATTGCCTCTCAACTGACAATTCACATTCCCCATACACGATTATATTCATTTATGGATATCCCAGCAGGATAAATGAGGTTCTATTGAATTATTGATCATCTTTACAGCCATTAATCTTAGATCCAGAAATAACATGCTTCAAATTTGAATGAATTGTGAACATAATTATACAATACGATCGGCAAATCAATTGAGGCAAATCGACGTTGTAGAAACTGATATGGGTGGATGGGTGGAAGGATAAGAGATCACTTCCGGTATTTGTTATTACCGGTCAACGAAATATTGTTGCCCGCTAAGAGGCGTTGCCGGGGAAACATCGAAACTTGTTCACGTGATACCCTCTCGCCCAATCAGGGTGTGAGTAAAATGGAATTTGAGAAATGGTATAGGATGAATTCGATTAAGTATATTTTTAGAGTGTTTCAGTTTCTGTTTTATTCATTGTTTGCTCAGTGCTTGGTATCATCTTTAGGAGAGTTAAGTAAGGGATACCTTCCTGATGCTTTGTGTAGCATTCACCTTTTACAAACCCAAACAACTCAAGTCACAACTATTATAATTAAAGTCAAAGCAGAATCAATAAATTTATTATTTTTTTCAAAATGACCCCAAATTTGCCAGGGTAGATATCTTAACTATATGTCTTAATTATTCCTTATAATCTTTATCTATATCTTTTATTCACTCAGTATCATTTTAACATTTGTAGTATACCGTGGGAAATTCCCACGAGTTTTTAATATATAAAGAGCAATCTAAACTTGTAAAAGTAGACGAAGACGTAGAGACGAAGCAGAAACAACTAATGCCACTAATAAAATCAGTCACCCGGTACCTCTTGTACGAGTGTTCACACACCCTTGTCTATGTTGCCTTTAAGTAGCGCTACTTTTAATACACTCCCAGAGCAAAATTGTTTTCTGCTAAAGATATACATTTGCAGCCAATAACCCCTGAATTGTAGGTGCTTAAAGGTCAAATGCCGCACAGTACAAGAAACGTTTAGTTACTAAGCGAGAAATTAAATCTCTAGTATGATTTGAAGCCGGATGTGTTCTCAAGCAGGTGATACTTTTATTCGATGATAAAAGGGAACAGTTCTAGAGTTAACTCTCCATCTTTACACGACTTCTTTTTTTCCTGTCAGTATCTTTGAAGCATCCCTGACATGCAGCCTGATATAAAACGTCTATTTTAAAACATGTAACTATGGAAACTTCAAGTAAACAAACATYCATGTTTACGTTGAGGAACATTGTGTGCACTTGGTTGACGTAAAGCTGTTACTTCTTTGCCTTTGTTGGGCAGTTGATTAAATAATGCTGTAACAAGATGGTTTACTGTGTGCTATACATTAAAATATAGCTATAGCTATACACACCCTTCGGCTTATAGGTACTGTCTTTATCTACTTATTAATATACAATCTTTTCCTTTTTCCATTGCGTGATAAAAGGTAGTTCCTTTTTTGCAAATACTTTATTTTATTTTGATAGTCAACTAATTCTCTTTTTTTATCCCACAAATAATTCGCTTTTGATAGCTCAAATATGCGATTGGCTATTCTATTAGCACTGATACTGGCAGTCAACCTGCACTTTAAGGTAATACTTTCTCTCTCTATATGATGATGTGTCTTCTTGGTTCTTTTCTAATAAGCTTATCGACTGATTCCATTCTACGAAATTCAAAAATGATTTTAAGATCTAGCCTCAGTTAGGTTGTTGAACTGCTTAATTTACCAGACAGCAAGAAGTGCCGGTAATATCTTCATTCAAAGCATGAATAACTTCTAGAACAAATATCTCGATCATCTGGTGCAKGGCCCAGATAGATTGCCGTCAAACCGCCTATTCATAATTACCATCGAAAATGGGTTCTTAACGTTATGGATGTCTCTAATGATGGTTGAAAGCAATTGCATCATTTGCAACACACTGCATTAGTGCAATGTTTAAGATTTTTTTTTGTATTTTCTTTAAAGGAATGTGTTGCAGTTGGAGAGACGAACTTGAATCATATCAAGACAGTGTACAACAGATATATGAAAAGATCTTATGGCGACGTAAGCAAAGCTACTATTTGAATGCTCAAAACGACTGACATGTAAATTTTTACGGAAGTAGGAAAATCAGAGAATCAAGAGAAAGAATCGTGTTGAAAGGAACACAACAAAACATATAAAAAACACTCAACTCGCATACGTAGCTTAGCTGGAAATGAAACCCGACCCCAGGCTTGAACTTCACAGCGGTGAAATTATAAAAACAACGTCCTAGCGACGCATGCCACCCTTACACATATATTAGTAGAATAGGAATTATAACAATAAATGGCATTTTGGAATGATGTTAGCCAAAGTAAAAGTTACACTGTTCTATAGTGAGAATTACTTGTTATAGGGAACGTACTACGGCGAGTACCCTGTAGGTAAAGGCGCATGTACACTGGATCCTTTATCCCCATTGGCTACTCAGCCTGGATGGATAAGAGTAGCAACTGGTCAACCTAACTACCAGTCCTCCCTTGGTTGTGGTATGTGTGTAGAGATCCATGGCAAAGGAGATGGACTTGGACTCGATCCAATCAAGGGCACTGTGAAGGCTGTGGTGAATGATTTGTGCGAAGGATGCCCGAAGGAAGGTAATAAAGATTCTTTAACCTTCCCCTCCACCTACTCCGATAGATACGAGACTAACTATCATTATATCATTAAGGATCCATGGATCTTTACATCAATGGAGATGGACGGTGGAAAATTAGTTTTGTTGCTGTTGATTGCCCATCAGTGGCTGGCGAGGCGGGTAAAATCCAGTTTAGATTTCAGGGCAGCAATCCTTGGTACATCAAAGTACAAGTCAGAAACTCAAAGTAAGTGTGATACTATTTCATGACCGAAATACAGGGACTTCAAACTATGTCAACAGTTAAGTAATTATTATAAATATCAACAGAATTCCTACTGCTGGTTTAGAGGCGCTGATTGGTGGACGTTTCCATTGTCTCAAGCGATCAACAGATAATTTCTTTGTTGGAATGGGTCTTGGGAGGGTCTCCTTCCCTCTGAGGATTCGTTTAACTTCGATATCTGGAGAACAACTAGAGGCTTTTATACCTGACCTTAAAAACGACCTCTCATATCCTAGCAACATCCAATACTCGGGCATCAAAGTAGGTGGTAAGTGTGATATTCATTATGTCAAGGGAGCGGTCTTCTATGCCTATATACTATGTCTATATATAACGTCTAATGGTTGTGGTTTTCTTATATTTTTAGGTGGTCCATCTGGCATTCAGTGTTTTGGCCAAGGTGATAAGGCACCCTATCCTCCAGGTGGAATGAGTAAGTCCTCAAAATGCATCATCATCATATATTAACAAGACTTATCTAGCTGGATTTTTTAATAAATTTATTACTTTTGATTTTGCCTTATAGTGCCTGGACCTGTGCCAACAAGCGGTGGTAGTGGTGGTGGTAGTGGAGCTACAACAACCAAAGCACCGGTTACCCAAAGGCCTGTTACCCAGCCTCCCTCGACTCAGTCTCCCACGACGTCAGGAGGAGGATCGACTGGAACGGGTAGGTTGAATAGCATGATATTAAAATTAAATATCAGTCTGATATCTATATTAATTAACTCATTTTAATTTCCAAAGGATTCTGTCAGGGTAAGAAAAAAGGCGTTCCCCTGGCCGATCCAAATGACTGCCATGGCTTTATCATTTGTTCAGCTGGTCAACCGAACAAGTTTACATGTGGACCAGTGTTAAAGTTCAATCCTAATGCTAATGGTTGTGATCACCCACATAATGTCCAGTGCTAAGATTCTTGTACCCAATAAAACGTTAATGTTAGCAAGAATAGTAGATATTGTACTAAGAGAGCAGCGAAAGTGTAATGGGCCTTGATTAAAGCTGTAAAGTGAGAATATAAACCTAATCGTATCTATCACTCGTCCTTCTGTACTTTGTTTATTTGTAACACAGAATATACTGTTCGTAATTCCATTCAATTTTCACATGATTGAAAGTGATATAATGCGCAAAGCTATATACTGACATTCTTGTTTTTTCTTTGTCAACCCAAGTTGGTACAATTTAAATGACCCCTACAGGTTTTCGATCTCGGCAGACATCCGTAAATCTTTGAAGCTGTAATTAAGTTCGCTTTCAATTATCAAACCTGAAAATAACCAAACTGATGAAAAAGTTTGTTTTTACATTGTTTTTCAATAGCAGAAGTAGAATCATCTTCACGAGAAAGTAGGATTTCGAGCGGATGTCGCCAACCAAGTCGTTTTCATGACTTAGGCAAGTGTAATACTGTTCGGCTACTTGAACTTATACTACGAATGGTCAAAAATATACATTAACGAATACATCTCATTAACGAATACAAGGTAGAACGAAATGAAAAAATAACAGTGATTAGCAATTGCGAATAGAATATATATATATTTAGCAAAACCTATGAAAACGGAGTCATGTACAGAAATAGAGCCCAAAGATTCATTGGACAACAAATATTTCATGAAAGCAGTTTATGAACAAGGAGAGAAATGTAAAAAATTTATAAGACGAATGTGGAAAATCATATTGACAAAGAAAGCCGTAATATTCATCGTCAAATCGATACCTTTATCATGCCTGAAAAGAAAAGAAAAGAAAAGAAAATCAAGTAAAAAACTCAGTATAAATCATTTTCCGTGCTTTAGACTTAGTAGGCTTCGATCTTGAATTAGAGGATCCAATCCTCGTTTCATCCGCAAAACCCCTATATTGATATCCAACCACGAAAAAAATAAACAATGAAAGGCAGGCAATGAAATGCAATTGAACAGTATTTATTTAACTTATTTGCCTATGTTACATCCTATTGCACAATTAAGAGATCTATTAAGCATTCCGCCAGCTGCTCATTGTCCACATAATGCTGGACTAAACCAGTCAAGCTCGCAAAATGACCAATTATTTTCATTTCTTTTCAATACCGAATTGAATCATTATTGCATTTGAGAAAAGACAAAAATACTAAAATAAGTTGGAAGAAGTTGTGATAAAAGTAATGAATAAGCGTTTGTCACTCTGCCTTCACGATCGAGCATAAGCAAGTGTTTTTTTTAACGGAAAAACAGACAAATCGGCGATCGACAGTGCAAGTGCAAGTTTGTTCATGTTTCGGGCTCGACAATAGGAGTATAAAGTATAATGGAGGACAACTCGACATTGCCTGGGCCAAGTGACTTCGACAGATTGTTATCAGCCCTAAAATCCAGGGGATCTTTAGCTTTCTGGCTAGGATGCATTATATGGGCAATAATTGAAATCTTTATTCTTGTTGGCAATACTATCACTTTAAAAATAATTATTTGTAATCCAACTCTTCGAACGATTCCTAACTTTCTAATTGCTTCCTTAGCTATCTCAGATATTGGAYTGGGAGTCTTTTCTGGTCCACTTTGYTTGGGWGCTATAATGTTCTCTAAATGGCCTTTCAGCARCACCTTGTGCCAGTTCCAAGGAATGGCAGCCTTGACCTTCGCCTGTGCCTCGGTTGAAAATTTAGCYTTGATGGCCGTTAATCGATATTTCCGTGTCGTTAARACTACTAAATATAACAAATACTTTAAKAARCGCAAAACKCTATGCTATATTTGTAYTGTATGGATGAGTAGCCTAATAGCTTCGGTGTCGTATATTCTATCTGGCCGAGAATATGTCTTTCATCCAGGCAAGATGTTCTGTTATCTGCAAATTGATGATTATGTCTTTCTGCTACTAACTGTGACCTTTTACATTGCCTTTCCTGCTATGCTCATAACATTCTGTTACTATAAAGTTTATAAGACCATCCAAAAGCATAATAGATCAATGTCGAATTGGGGAAGTTCCTCCCAAAATCTGTCARTCCAGGAAATCAACATCACAARAACRCTTTCTCTRATCGTGGTGATGTTCAYTRCTTGTTGGCTGCCTGTTTTTGTCATGGATTTTATAGACATCATCAAATTAAGGTGGTCTCTGCCAAGAGAGGCATACGTGGTCTATACATTYCTTGYAGSAWCGAGCAGTTCTATAAATCCWGTGTTATATGGAATCATGAATCCAGTGTTTAGGAAGGAGTACCTTAAAACATTGACTTGTGGTTTACGATGCACGAGAAAACGAAACGTKTCACCAGAGRAGCYAGCAAATAAAGGAACAAATACTGCTATTAAGAGGATACAAGTCAAAGATATTACCCGTACTAAATAAATGTTGCTTACAAATGGACAATCTCAGAAAAGTTTGATTAATGTCTAGACAGCTAGGATGATGGGCCCTAAGGACAGTAACTTATCTTACATTAAAGACCCGAGGTCTAAAATCGTGCGGCTTATCACATAAAAGTAAAGATCCAATAAAAGAAAACTGCTAGCAATACAGTTCACGTACTTAGTACTTTTTGAAAAGCCTTTTCATTTTGTCTGGAATTGTTAAAGGTATACGGATGCACAAGCTTTCTTATGGTCAAAAGGGACGCTGAAACTTCACCGCTTAGGCCTGTTGTGATTTACTTAGGGCCTGGAGTTTGCACTGTTCTGACTGAGATCGAATTCGTATGTCTTCTAGAACATTTAAAGACCTTCAAGTACTCTCTTCTAAATGTTGGATTTATAATGCCATAGATGATTGGGTTGACACAATTAGACGAAGCTGCGCAAATAGTGTACGCAATGTAAGCATCGAATGGAAGAGATGAATATCCTCTGAATGTGTCAATTGAGTCTATGATAAAAACAGGTGTCCAGCTAACGATATAAAACAATACGATGAAGAACAACATACGGGTTATTTTGACTTCCTGTACATTGAGCGTGCTATTTTTAGCAGAGGAAAAGATCTGGGAGTTGTGCTTTCTGATGACTAAGTATACTCTAGTATAACAATAAACCATGATAAAAAAAGGGAATGATATAAACAGTATCACTGCAGTTCCGCTGAACCATGCGGCTTTGATATCCATGTAGCAAACGAGTTTGGCTGTCATGAAAAAAAATTGTTCGCCCGACCACAAGTAAATACTTGGAAACAAAATACCCACTAGCCAAACACATGCGATCATTATTGCTGTACGCCTGAACGCAAAATATTGAGGGTAAACACTGTGTCTAACAACATTGAAGAATCGATTGATCGAAGTAAGGGCGAGCGTCAAAGTCGATGTAATTGCAAGTAAAACAATCATAAAACCATGATACTGACAGACATGATAACCAAGTATCCAAGACGATTCGAGGATGACTATGGAACACAATGGTGCTACCATCTGATACTGCTAGTGAAATGATAAACATATTTGCTCGTTTCGTGCTCAGGACGGGGTTCTTGATCAGGATGTACAAAGTCATTCCATTGCCAAGAATAGTAGTGATCAAGTAAATGATGCCGATGACAAATATCAATGTCTTCCGGCTCTCGAGTTTCTTGTGCATCTCCTCATGTATATATGTAATTTTTCGTCACATGTGACTTAGTTTAAAGGTATTCTAGTTAGTTAGCCGGAATAAGTATGGATTTTCGACTGAATACTTCACCAAACACGATAAGTCTCTTTTATTTGAATTCATTTTTGACACCCACTTATTATCAAAAAATGATTTCATCATGAGAGGCCGATATTTAATCAAACTTTAAGATTAGTTGRCCAATCATATTTCGAATTTATTCATGGAAACATGCTTTGATTTACTCCAATGCGGCTAGAATGACATCATATGAAGAATAGACCACCTATATATATATGTAGGACACTTCTATTGCATTCAAAGATTTGTTTGCTCCATCTAAAAAAACATTAAAACAAAACAAGTTAAAAGAATTTAATTAATTCTCACCAACGAACTTAAAAATCTTAATCAATTTTTTTTCATCGTCAAGACTTGAATTAATTGCTTTTTACTCTATTCTTCGGGTTTGAATTGAAAAGAATAGTTGCAGCTGTGGATGGGATGTGTACTATAATGAAAAAACAAGATATCGTTTTTTGACTTCTTAAACTTAAAAATTCATTAAAATTTGATATCGATTAAAAAATGGGTTTCACCTGAAATATATTAACCAGTGGTCTGATATCAGAACAATTCTATACTTCTCATATCCGTCTTATTTGTCATCTTTAGTATTCCAGTCACTTTCATTCGGTGGCGAAAATATCTGTTTTTCCTAGCTCCGAACAAACACTAAGTTTTTTTAACTAAAATTAGTAAACGACAAATAGGTAGCCATGTTTTTCATACACTCCCTACAATTAGTAAGCAACCAATTTAAAATTTGTTATTTGATCTTTAAATGATTCGTATAGTCATCGGCGGCTCTTAAAAAATCGGAATCCTATTCCTTTAATTTCAAGATTTCAAATTAATTGCTGCGGACGAAGAAGGGTGGTAAGCAGGAGGCTATGTCACAAGACTGAATTGGACTCAGCGTATTATAGGGTCTGGATGGGATGGGAGGTCCACATGTCAGTTGCCAGTCAAAATTTCACTTATTTGTCTTTGACATTTGTCAGTTAAACTTCAGCCTTTTTATCAGTTAAAATTTATTGGTTTTTTGTCAGTTGTCAATAAACTTCGATGAAAACCGAAAGAAGACGTTAGGCCGGGTCGCGTTTGGACGATTCCCTGTTGTTCTGCATTATCAAAACACGTATATTAAAAACACATTCAAAGSTTCATCGTCTTCAAACCCGAATTTATTTGCTCACTTAGCCAGTAACGATTCCCTTGTTCTTCCTTTCCTTTAATTAGAGCAACTCGCTTCCCAACCTGATAAAAGGTAATGACCCATTCTCAGTTTGATAGGAATAATAGGGATCCATCGTTCCAAAATGATAATTGAAAAAGGTTCTGCTAGCAATCAGTTGGAAAGAACTGAAGGAAAGTAATTACTATTAAAACGCCTGTGCGAAAGTCCGAAAAGTCATTAAAGTATGTTATTTCTTTTACATACGTCGCATCATAATGTAAGTATCATAATATAACTTCAAAGAGAAGACTCAAGAATGACGGAAGTGCGAAGGTTAGAAAATATAGGTCACTAGGCTCTACAGAGACATATTAAGAAGATGATGAGAGGACGAAATATGATATCAGTTTGTAAATATTTGGACCATTTATAAACCTTAATAACCTCTAAACTAGCACAAGTTATGTGTTGTTAATTTCAATGAAATATCAGATAGTTGAAGTGATGAGGACAAAGAAAAATTTGAATCAGAGCGAAAGTGACAGACCGTTCTTAACCAATTTCATAAAAAATATATAAACACAAATATACTTAAAAAAGCCGGATTAAATTTATCAAGTCAAATGGACAAATTTGATTGCGAGCAATTGCCATGAGAGACGAACCCYGCCATGAATTTGGCAATGAATATGGCTATTTTTTATACTCTAATTCCTTGTACGACAGTGCAAAAATGACATGGACCTTTCTCAAGCAATCCCATTGAAATACATACTAAAATGCTCAGAAATAACTGAAGTTTATCTTGCTAGCTGGGTGGGCATCATTCCGCCATTGCAATATGGACGAAGAGTTACTATCATTATCATTGAAGTGTGACCCACGAAGTTCAATGTCTCGTCCTTAATACGATCAACTTATAAGGAAACGATCTTGACAAGGACTCTKTCAAACTTATCGAAACAAAATTTATATCAGAATAAAACTAAAGGACTATATTTTTATATGCTGAGTGAACACTGAAGTAGAAAAGCACTTCGAAGTTATTCAAAAAAAGAAACATGTAGGCAAATTGAAAGTTTTTTGGACATTTTAAAGCCTCTCAAAAGTTGTGGGAGTGGCTCTTCAAAACTGCTGACTATTTAACGTAACACTTTGTTTAATGTGGATTGTCGTTTTCTTGCGCATGTCAAACAGCATAGCTAATCCTATTATTGTCGTTAGGAATCTCGCACATAGAAATTAAGAAATCGGTAAAAATAAATGACAATGGTTTTGTTTGCGAAATCATAAAGACTTGTTTATGACTGTGTGATCGTTTTAGTATGTCTTTTACTCTATCTCTATCCACTGATCATCATTTCGTGGGGCATAAGTAAGTTCTGAACTCAATTACCTCAAATATACCATGCATCGTATATTAATTTTAACAAGTTTTCCAGTCCCGGGAATATTCTTTTTCTGTTTGACTAATTAAAAAAACTCTTGCGGCCATTCTAGCAGATTATTATTAACTTATCTTAGAACATTGGAGGAGGGCCAAAAGGCTCGAGTAATTAAAGGGAGTCAAGATAGCCTTCTAGTATCTTCGAATTATCCCAACTATTCACACCTGCTCTGTGTGGCTTAGATAGCTTTATAGTTGGTTAGAAAACTCATTAATAATTCATGAAGAAAACACAATAATAGAAATCATGACCATGAAGGTGATTTTATATCTGATAAAGATTCGTCTTCATTTGCATAAACTTTAACTTGGATTTTCTCTATCAAACTTGGTTCATTTCGTAAAAAAATCGGTACACAATGAGAACAAACATCATAAGTTTTCTAAGCCGTTCAATAATCTCGCAGATCGTGGTTTATCGGGTCTAAAACCACTCGGCTGCGCCTCGTGTTTTATACCCGATAAAACACTCCTGCTCGTTTATTAAACAGTACTTAAAATATTGCACTGGTATCGCAAAGGTCATGGGTTCGTATCCGTTAACATTTAAGTCTGCTGATTTTCAGGGGTTGTTTTTTGTGATTTTTCAATTATTAAGAAATAGTAAAGGCCCCATTCGGTTTTTATATATTCATATTGAGTCTCGATTTAATTTGAACAGAAACTTGTGAAACTTGAAAACTTTGAAACGTGTAACACTACAAACATGTTCCGGAATAGTCATATATGCAAAATAGGAGTTTTAATACCATATTTGGAATGATGAGTTTGGTCAAGATGACTGCTTCCCTTGCATATCAAACATCTCGCTAAATTTCCTTACTTTCAGAGGAGATTTACTGAATCTTCCAATAAAACATTTGGAATAACTGTCTTTAATTTAGTTTTCTTAATCCATCCTCTGAACAGCCTAAGGACAATCGTCCGTCATTGGTATTACGTGCATTGGTGCAGTTTTTGCTATGTGATACGGTTGACGTTCGAGCTGTCAATGACCTGTGCGCTTAGAATTGAGAAAATAATCTTAGTTTCAACATACTATATATGAGAAAATGGAACAAGTAAGGTCAATGTACGTTGACCTTCGCAGATAATAAAGTTCACTTTCTTTCTTTATTTTTTTTTGTAGTTTTAACCGTTTACAATGTAGTTAACATAAAAAATTAGCAATATGTTTAAAAGTGGTAAAATAACTATTTTGAATTGTAAAAGAATTGTCACACCCTTTTCTTCTGGCAACAAGTATAAGGGAAGTTTTTAAGGCAAATTATAGTCATCGGCACCGATTACCACTCAGTTTTCGAATTCCGGCTCAGTCCGTTTTGCAGCCAAAGTTGTTCAGATTTCCCTCTCGATGTTTCTTCTGCAGCAGCCACGTTTTCTCTTGACAGGCATCTTTTCTTGTTCCAGTGTCTGCAAACTAACCAACATAACAAGGTTTTGACTACTGCTCTGGTATGGTGTCTTATGACTGAGTGAAAATACTACGTGTGCGCAACCACCCAACCAAATCCGTACACTTTATGCACTGTATAATAATTCTTTATAGGGCATACATCTTTTAAATGGATAAAAAATATGTTCATAGCTGTCACAAAAACAACAAAGACAACAAATCGTGCGAATGAATTTCAGTTCTTAGAGGCTGAATAGGATAAAAAAAGTCGGCTTTAAAATTTTTCCATTAAATACAAACATATAAATAAATAAACACAGCTGATAAAGCAGCTATTCCAAGCTGTAGCTTACAAACAATTAAGTTGCAGTTGTTGTTTTACTCACTCGTGTAAATAAATCCAGCGTCGAAGCGGAATTTGACAGTCGTGGCTTGGGTGTCTTCGGAGCGGGGAAACTAAGAATAAAGGCTTGACTATTCTGGGGTACTTGTTGAAATGAAAGGAAAATAATCACTAAAGCTGACAATAAGAGCCCGCAACAACCTTTCATTATGAAACTAGATAAAAAGTGCCGGATAAAAATGTGTTATTTGGCCGTCAGGTATAGTTGAGTGACAACTGCATTTGTATTGTCGCGTTTATAAGTGTTTTCGCCGACCACCCGTTATGAATACTGCATCCGGACAAACCAAATCAATCACAAACTCTGTATGAACTCTTTGATAATCATTTTTTCAAAACCGTTGCAAACGCCCACTGCGATGAGCCTATAACTGCAAGACTTCACAGACTGCGAGACTTCATGATTGCTTGGTAAAATGACTAGAACAATAAAAGTAAGTAAAACCCTCAATTAAATACTGGAAAAGTTTTTTTTTTAAACACTAAAAATAAAAAATAAACTAAAAAAAACTACATGTGTTGGGTTCTCTAGCGACATCAGATTTGATAAACTTATTGTTTACCTGTTAATAAATTAAAATGACCTAGTAAATTCAGTTCTAATGGCTCGTACGCATATTTAAAAAAAATAAAACATCTGTGTACCTATGAGGCTATGCTTAGCCTGTGTACAGCCGCTTCCCACCCCTCCCCCCTTCGGGGATATGCTATGCCGTTGAATATAATAGCAGCTATAGTATCAGTATGAAACATGAAAGCATGAATGGCATGAAAGCACGGATCAAAAATAAATAAATAAATCAATGATGACAGCCAACAAACAAGGATCAGAAACCCTTATTTTTTTTGCTCAAAAATCACATTTAAGTTTTTTCCCGACTTATATTTTTACCTTTCACTTTTATCTATAAAATTGAGCTTTAGAACTGTGATTTTAACGTTTTTAGTCGTCAGTGTGACGAACTAAATCATAAAACTAAGGCCAGGGAGTTTAACATTGATAAAGAAATTAGTTTAGCGAATTAAGAAGAGATTGTAAGTTTTTTGAAAGAAATTTGATAAAAAAGATTATATTTTGATAACGACGTTTTTCATAAAGGAAATACCAAAATAAAGGCAGCCATATCATAAGAGTAGTTGTTTGGTTTAAATATAGTATTTTGAAATTTATATCTTCATAAGACGAGGTGGCCGAGTGGTTAAGGCGTTGGACTGCTAATCCAATGGGCTCTGCCCGCGTGGGTTCGAATCCCATCCTCGTCGTACATTTTTATTCTTTTTCAAAAAATTCCTTTTTTCTTAAAGATTTCAATATTCTTAATATTTCAAATTACTTATAACTATGAATATTTAAAACATCGAATTCAATTTACGCTAACAATACTATTTTTTAAAATTTTTTATAAATATAAACCCTAAGTTGATTTATCAATAATATTAATATTATTAATATTAATAATATTTAAACTTTCTTTTTCATCACTGATAGTAAATCTACAAAACTCTGTTAGATTTTCAATAATTATTACCTGACAAAAATAATTACGTACCACAGGGATCCCAGAAAWAAACATTTTGAAAACCACAGGAATCCCACGCACATTGTTTTTGTCCCTTCCTGTTCAATAAGGTTATGTTTGCGATAAAAAACTAAGCTTTGAGTGTCGAACAAAATATTTATTTATTTATCTATTTATTAAATGAAGTGTTTGAAGATAAAAAATGTCTGTGCCGTCTGGGTTGGTGCTTGTTGATTGTTGAGCACTATACAGGCTTTGCACCATCACGTGATGGCAGCCATGACAGAAGGCAGGAACAATTGAATCTATTCTAATCTGATTTACATGAGAAAGAATTCAGGGGAGAACGACTCTATCGTTGTGCCTCCTGTCATGGCTACCATCGCGTGACGGTGCATAGCCTCTAATTAAACGAGGTTAAGTGAAAAGAATAATCTTGATCGACTTAAATAATCGTTAAAGTGCTACTTCTAATCTTTCTTTCTTTCTTTCTTTCTTTCTTTCTTTCTTTCTTTCTTTCTTTNCTTTCTTTCTTTCTTTCTTTCTTTCTTTCTTTCTTTCTTTCTTTCTTTCTTTCTTTCTTTCTTTCTTTCTTTCTTTCTTCTGAGAATTTCTTTCTTCTGAAAATTTCTTTCTTTCTGAGAATTTCTTTCTTTCTGAGAATTTCTTGTGGATGAAAATAGAAGAATAAAGCGATTTACGGAAATCACGCGACGGGAATCTTTAAATAATTACTATCATAAATCTATTCTCGGATATCATATGTTTTTAATATTATCATGACTGCTTGATAAACAACCTACTTTTCGCAACGACATCCACTCACATGCAGTTACATTCAGTTCCCAAGTATTTCCCTCCAACATCCTAAGCTGTGATAAATACAATTCCCTTCCCTTATCGCTTTGTCACACAATCCCCTCGTTTTGGCTGACAGTGAATTTGTCCTATTGATTCTGTATATTTTATGGTAAAAATACATTATAAGGCACTTAAAGTTTAGTAGTCTAGCGTGATTGGTCCAGGGCGAGTGGCCCTCATATGGATGAGTGCTTTCTGCTCGAGTACTTGAAGATAGCTAGACTACTTTTGATCAGAGTTTTAAATACGTTAAGTATTGCATGGAAGAGATAGTGTTGTTTTTCCATCTGTGTTTCTGTAAATTATAATTATGGTGGCTCTAACAGTCTTGATGATGTCAGCGGACTAGTTTATAATTACGGGTTTTTACTTCCTATTTTGTTAATCCACTGCTCGACGGCGTTTTACGGCTTATTAATAACTAACTAGTACTGGTTAGGTTGAAGAGCAGATACCTAGTTCAGCGACTCCGAACCATACTCGAAATGCTCAAGACGTAAGGCAATTTGATATCCACTTTGGTAAGATATACCAGTGTATTTTTGTATTATATGTTAGTGTCATTGTTATCTTTTCATATCTAAATGATATTCTAATGCTTTGTTTACTGTATGTGATATATAGTTATTGATGGTTTCACTTACAGTGTGTTGCTGGTCCCTCTCACTGAGGGCACGAACGGTCTGTGGCAGTCGCTATTCGTGAATGAGAGCATTGAGACTGACAGTTTAATGAACACTACGAGAGGACTGAAACACATCGAAACCATCACTGAGGCGGATGAAGAAGAGGAAGAATATCAAAATCGTCATATCTCAAAAGAAAGAATTAATTCGCACCTGGGAAGTGGATTAGAAAAGTGGCAAAAAGCAATGGAGGAACAAGTCGGGAATGACGAACAAGACTGTATTTCTACAAGGTATTTATTGTAAACCCAACAAGGCTATTGATTTACTTATTGATATAACCATGGATGTATATTCTGCGGAATAATATTCGTAAATAAGCCGACAGAATAACGTTCATGGCTCATGAAAGAACATGGACGTTTGTTTACTGTGAGCAAACAATACTGATGAAAAAATTGTCTACCAAAAATTATAATTTTCAATTTGTATTTGGTCTTTGCAGTTTCATGATAATTGGTATTCTTTTTCTCAACATGACGCATTTGCATTGAGCTTAAAATGAAAGTCAAATCACATCTGACATTCAAATGATCGAATGGCTCCATATAAGCTTAAATAGCGCCTTTATTCTGTTTATAAATTACTAAAAAGGAAAAAATCGTAATCATAATCATTCTTTTAAAATTTACTGTTCAAAATTCTTTCTATTGCTTCACAGAAAGACTTTTTTGAGCTTTTTTTTTTACATTAACTGACTCCATTGCTTGTCGCCACATCTGCTTGCTTCAGATTTTCAAGCCTTGTTTGCTGGTGTACGAATATCTCTCACCCCTTGTGAATTAACTTGTTTACTTAAACCACAGCTTGTTCATCGCAAAGATACTTTTATACTCTACTAAAATCCACCCAAACTATCAAAAGAACGCAAAAAATGCACTAAAGAGGCTTGTCATGTTGATTCTAAAATAGTTGAGTACCTTGTACAAGGTTTAGAGTATCGTTTGATTAGATGTAATTGCACTGTTGACTCAAGAACAGACATTGGCACCCGAATGTGTCAAGAAGCAACTACTTAGTAGACATTTCATGCAATAAATATTATTAAGATTAGAAGGTTAGTTTTCTGTCGGATAAAAAAAAAAACTAAACTCAATAACTCGATCAGCAAAATAACTGTTTTTTTTCTGTTTTCACTACAAAGAGGCTAAGAAAGAGTTTCAGCTTCCCTAAGATTTAGACCCTAGAGTTCGTTGTGGTTGACCAGTTCTTACAATCTAAGTACAGCACTTGAAAGTAAAATATAAACAGGTATCATATGATGTTTATTATCGAGAAAGCAAAACTCGCGGGCTTTACAGCCAAGTATACCAATATTTTTTTGTTAAGTGGCGAGGTTTTTTTGAATATGGAATACTGTCAAACACTCTAGATAATTTAAGAAAGAGTAGTAAAAGGTTTAGTAGCTTTAGACCTACTTCCCCACTTTTAGCCTTTTAAAATATAATTCGGAAAAAAGCTGAGAGTTGGCCGTTCAAAATCATCACTAAACTTAAAGATAATCTATAGTTGACTATGATGACCGTCTGACTGATGTTCCAAAAACTCTGACAAAACTGAAGTTTAATACTGTAGAGAGAATAAGAGAAAAATATCAAATGCCCTTGGCAGGATTCGAACCCACGTCTTCGGTATTCTAGTCCGATGTGTTAACCACTACACTACAAGGACCAACCACGCTGGTAACGCAGCCAGAATATGAAATGTAGGGTATTCGTGAGGATCCCAGAGCGATATTTTTTCTCTAAAGATAAGTTGAACACCGTAAATATGTACGCAAAGAATAGACATAGTATAGTAGTAATAAATTATGCGTTCAATACTGCCGAGTTTAAGCCCTAAATTATTGTTTACTTGTTTTATAGTTAGGCTTTTATTACTATTTTAAATATTAATTGTGTTAACGAGGTTTTTCAAGAACCATTTGTATGTTTGTCACTGCTTTTAAGTCGGTTTTTAACTCGTGGATACGCGAATTGTAGAAACGAGTTATTGTTACATTTTCTGGCCACGCTAATCGAAGAGGGTCAGGCATGGCCACATCACACAAAAACTCAAATCCTACTGCACTAAGTGTCCAGAAATAATAGTTATATAATCAGTGAGCTTAGTCTGGAATTTTCATTGGAGAATTTTCTTTCAAAACCAGGAAGACATTTTTATTCCCTCAGCTTCTTAAAGGACCTTAAGTTGAACCATATAAGTTCCAAACTCTGACTCTGTTTTGATGTTCAAATCCCTCACACGAAGGAATTATTAATTACTATTAATTAACACACTTGTGCGAAGTTATTAAACAGTGGTTAAATGTTAGGTCGTTATGTATGCTATCGACATACCTTCACGGTTGGTCCACTGAGATAGTGACAATGAGGTATGGCTACAGGTTACCTGCTGTTTGTATGCTCGAATGACTCTTCCAATGCATGCGATTATTTCTTGTTTGTATGTATGGATATACGTACGTACTTGTCTAGCTCTCAGCGGAAATCTGCGTGCCAGACTTCATGATTGAGATGGTACGGTTGCGTTCAATTTAGATTCCATCACGCACATTCGTCATGTTTTGCTACACTTGTATTCAGCTCCGGAATACGTAGAGACAAAGCCATAGGAAAAAAACTCTGAATAAGAATGTAAAACGAGGGAAAAGAGGGAAAAAATAGAAAAGATAGATAGAAAAAAGTCAAAGTGACGGTCCCTGAAAAAATGGTTGAAGGAAAGAACTATAAGTGCTTGGGATATGGATGGATGGAGGATTTTTATTATCACCTTGAGTTCTTAATTTCATTAACCCACGCTTGCCGTTTTCGACGTGAACTATACAAAACTATAAACTAGCTTTACTTGAGATATGACACGGGTATTAAGAGAAGTTAAGAGTCTTAAGGAAAAAGCTTAGAATGTAAATGTACCACGATAAATATTTGTATAAACTTTACTTCAATGACAGACCTGCCACTAGAACGGAAACCAACGGTCGCTTGATGTTCTAAGATTAGTCTTTGAGTTCTATTGGAACAAAAGTTCTTTCATGGCCACCCTAGTCGGTATTTTCTTAACCCCCACCAAGATGATTGTGTATCGTGTTATATGCAAACATAATTACCTTTCTTTACATAATAGAGTTTTAATGAGTTTCTGACTTTAATTGTTTTCTTTCTGTGGACAAAACGTGCCATATGCACTCAAGTGATCAGCCCGCAGGTCAACTTGATCAGCGGTATGATCATCATTCAGGATGCGCATGCGCATGCTTTGTTAGTTTTTCAAGTTTGAAATCATCGAGTGCTCAAATTAAGCCGTGTCGGTGGCAGGGCGATACCACTTGCGACTACGCTGGAGATTTCTAGCCCGACCAATACCGCTATATCCCGGGAGGAATTTCCCAGTACACCATATTTAAGATGAAATTCTAAAGATTATACTTATGTGTCTCACGATTGTGGCAGTTAGGAGGACCGCGACTTTTCGACTGCTACTGACAGGCTTCATCAGGCGATTGTATAGACTGGGAGTGATATCAGTTCTTATACGGTATATAAGAAGAACACCTTCCAGTCTGCACCATCGCCTGATGAAGATTAGCAGTTTGCATTAGAATCGCAGTCTTTGCACCCGTGCCGTGGCACAATCGTGAGACAAATGAATAACTATACAATCTTTTCCATTTTCAGATTTGATTAAATTGTAGTTTTCTATTAAGAAGCTCAAAAAGGGGTACCGGTGCTGCACTGTTATTACCGTTATAYCAATGGGTCAATGAAAAATTATCAATCCTATCAGTTTGATATAAATTCCAAATCGCTCAAGATTTAAAAAGTAAGCCTAAAAAAGGGAGGCGAAAGAAGAACGTTTTCTTCACTCTTATCGCAAATAAGTCAAACAGTTAAAAACAAAAATACGCACTTTTTTTGCGATTTTGAAAAGCAAGCAAACTGACTAGTGACTACAGTGTTGATTTACATTTTGAGTAGATTTACATGGTAGTTATATTCACCCTGCTGGCAGAGCCTCCTTTAATTTCTCCTGAGCGAGAGATGAGCGAGAGCATGGAGAAGGTAAAAGGAATATTCTGCTCACGAGGTAACTTCTATGAAATGAGCCTCTATGGCGAGACATTCACTTATTTCGAGATCCTTTTAACGAGAAAAAAATCAATTTCGAGTCGGAACCTTGCAAACTTTTATTCCAGTCACGTTTCGCACATTGTTTTTTAATTACACGTGTCACGTACTAGTCAAAAAGCATAAAAGTTTTAAACCGTAAGACCTGCTTACACGTATCACGCTCTATATATTTAACTACTTCACGTATTACTGACGCACTCATTTTTGCCTTTTTAAACCCTCCGCCACCCTTAACTACCTGGTTTAGTAGCTCATTCGAAGAAAGATATGTAATGATGGCATCTGAAAACCCCATAAAACACTAGGATTGTTTGCAAAAAGGAAGCAGCAAGGCGGGCTCTTTTTCATTGCAGTTTGTATTTGAGATGCTATATGAATGAAGCAACATATTCCTTTGTGGATGAGTACATTTCGATGTGTAGATATGGTTTAGTACTCATGCTTCTCTATCACGTTTTCCTTAGAGAACAGGACCCTCACAGGATTTAAAACACGGTCATTTATATCATCAGGTATCATTGTATTTTTTAAAAATCTAGTTACTACTCCTTCTCCGTAGTCCAAAAGGAGCGGTGTCCAGACCAGCCATGGCTTATTAGCTAATCCCTTTCAACAATAACCAGTACATGCCAATGCTAATCTGGGCAATCTCTGGATAATCGCTGTTGTGCCAGGCAGTGTTAGAACAATCAGAAAGAATAGACTTATCAAAGTGCAAAGAAACGCGCCGGTCAGTTGAACATGGGCTTGAAGAATCTTAAGAAAGAATATAAGGGAATAGGAAAGAGAAATCTAAGGTGAGATGAGTCTTATTTTGAAGCTGTTACTCCAAGGAAAATGAAGTATCTTTGACCCGACGTCTGAAGTTCTGTCTAGTTGACGAATATAGTATTTCATGTATTGTTGATTTATACAAAAACTGATCGAAGAACCGCCTTTAATGAACTCTAATATAAAATTAACTAGACCAGAGTTAGTGCGTCGTTAGCACCAGTGTCAATCTTATTAGAGCACGTTTAATACTAACGTTCCGTATCTTGGACAAGCAATTAGTTTTGAACGGCAATCAAGTGTTATTACATATTGACACCTATTAATTATTGACCGRCACACAAAAGATGTTGAAAAAATAACTTATAAAATCCTTCTACCGTTAACCGACCTTGCCTGCCATGAAAGAGAACAGTGTTATACATCAGTACATTTTAAAAATGTTTACCAAAATAAATGTGTTTGACATATACTTTGTATAAAGCCGCAAAGAAATAGGGATAATTGGTGTTTACGATCGATCGATAGACTAGGCTCGGCTATGACTGATTGAGTGCCTTTGGAAGATGATAAAAGTGGCCTGGTGGTTGATGAAACATCTCTGATCTGTGATGATTATTTACAGGGTAATCACATTTATCCTGAAGCTATTAGACGGTACTTGTTTCTTTATTCCTTGCCAGATGATCTAGCCTCAGATTAGCACGTTAACACAAGATCGTGTAATTGACCTTACTGTTGCATGACGAAAGTGTAATTTAACCAAGTTAGATTTAGTAGTAGTGTGTCCACAGTTATACCAGTTCTTTGATTTGAAGAATATTCTTCCCTATTCTTCCCTTCCTTATTAGGAATAACTTAAAATTCATTCTTTTTTTACTTTTGAGACTCAGCTAGTTCAAATGATCACCATCTCCGTGGTCTGACGCATACATGGGACTGCCTAGTTATTTCTAACCATGCATAGCTGTATTGAAAAATAGCTAGACTCTTTTCATGATGTCGTCAGAGGGGATTAAAGGAATTCTAATCCGTATCGTACGTTAAGATGGATCGTGCGAACGCTACGAATCATTAAATAAGTTGTTTATTATTGTTATGTTGCTAACATCATGACGTCATGGGAGGTATTTATGTAAACATTGGTGTTGGAGTGACGGGTCAGTTTGAGTTGCTTTTGTCAAAGGCACTATGCTTTATTACACTTTTAAGAACGTGTCGCCCTCTAACAAAAATATAACAAATGAACATTCACGGTAAGCTAATATATATATTTTTGAATTGATCATGTCAGGTCGGGCTTTGGAAAATAGTATATTGCATGGTAAAAAGTCTTGATAAATGGAAAATATTTGGAAAGAAAACGAGGGCCATTCAGGAAACACTTAAGAATTGAAATTTTATTATTTATTGTTTAAGTTGTTTTATGAAAAAAGAACTTTTGATTGGAAGACTGCAAAGACTTGTTTCCGGCGCTTGAACGTCAAGAAGCCATTTTTCAAATTCTGCGGTTTCATGAATATATTTACGAAAGGAATTTTGAACGAGAGTATTTTTTATTGCCTTAGATCCAATCGTAGTTCTTAATTAATCGTAATGTTTTACGTCATCAGGTCTAGGACCCAAACTACTGAAGCACCAGTAATATTTGACCCAGACGGAATGAGGATTGTTCGAGGGACAACTTGTATTTCTAGTGAGTTTCGCCAGCGTTCTTACACCGATCCTACCGATTTACTGTGGGTATTTCGAAGAAGATGGAATATCATGTTGGATGAGAATGATAACGAGGATAACGAGTATGATAAAACATCAAATAAGAGGGATGAATGGTCAAATAAAGATGGAAAACAGCAATTGGATATGTACAAGATGGGCTGTGATGACGGAAAAGAGGTTAGTACTTGATGATACGATTGACGAGAACTTGACGTGCTCTAAGATTCACTTCTTTTACTGATAAAATCCAATTACTTATTTTGTTCTTATGACTCGTTAGTGTGATTTATTCACATTAAACTAAAGTCATGAAATGAACATATATGGACAGAGCTTTTTTTAGTAGCCGTTTTTAAGACAAGACGAACGCGAGAAAGACGCATAACAGCATCCGGGCAGCAGACTTACTTGTTTTTGCGAGATATGCTGCGAAGCACATCAAGTATCAAACCTGATCTTATTGGTGAAGATCCAATGAAGTTTTAATAAACAACTTAACCCAAATAAGGGCGCAATTTTAAAGCTAATAATAGATACATCAATTGGCTGTAATTAAAGTATTTGACTGCGAAATCTTTTTCAGTTTGCTTTTTGACTGTTCTTTTATAAGCTGGACAAACAGCTCATTAAAGATCGGAAATGAATCGTTCTTTAGTGATAATGAGGTGACAAATGTGGTGTGTGTTTACTTGACGTAATAAAGAACTGACAAACAACTTACCCTGTAAAGCAAGATTGCCTGTATAAAGCAGGTATATTTCATAAATAAGAATCCGCGGAAGCGAAGCAGAAGGTAGGCAAACCTTWAAAAAAAACTATTCAAAAATGAATGCGGGGCATGGTGTGGCTAGGAAAGTGAGTATGATCATTTAAGAGGTAAGTCAAATGATCGAAGAACGAATTCTATGTAACGGAAGTGATCAGAAGGCTACGATCTCCCCATGATGTCCTAGGAGCCGAGTTGCATTTGCTGGCAAAATCATCAGATTTTTCAGGCATTATGTTGTTTGCCACGATTCTAAATCATTTGTGGCTCCGGTGCATAATAATATTGCATATCCACCGCTGCTATTTTGTATTGGTCAGGTGATGAAACGTTAAATATTGAGTAAAAGTTCAATAACATCTACACATAATGTATTGTTGTTATTTGTCAATGAAAACTGAAGCAAATTTCATTTCAATCTTTATAAATAATTGCCTTAAGGAATACTTTTCTAGGCGAAAGGAAGGTTGAAAAAAATATTCTTTTTTTAAAATATTGGATTTGATAGCGTGGAAGTACTGACCTCTTATTGTTGACACACGTCGTATTAAAGGGCCAATTTTGTAGAGCACCTCTCAACAAAGGTATATTATTACTAAGTATTAAGCAACGCTAAAAGATTCAGAGTATAAGACGTTCTGGCATGCTTTTGTACACCGTGGGAAAAAAGTACTTCGGATTTACCATCAAAACACCATCGTTTTTCTATCATTTAGAAGGAACAACATTCCCTAACGATTAGAGGTACTTTTGTTTAACTGTGTAAACAAGTTAACAGACTATGAGAACGAGAAGATTGGTTTTCAATCAACAATCGGTGATTTCTCTTAACGAAAACTACACTAGAAAAATACGACTAGAAAAGGAAATTCGAGAATCTGATAGTATAAAAACATATTGTATTGGCAAAATATCGGCACAATTGGATGGAAGCGATGCCATTAAGGTAAGTGGCCACGCGTTACTACTTGGTCAGTCTGCTTTGAATCGGTTCTGGTAGGTGTTAGCTGGTTAGGAGTAGGTAGAATCCCTTCCACTGACCTATGATCCTGTTGGTTGTTAGGTGTAATGAAATGGTCTTTTAGTTAGTCGTTACTCTGAAGACAATTACTTGAGTTGATCTTATTTTGTACCGAGTGTATTTAGTATATATTGTTGTTTATTGAGTTGCCATGAATGCAAACCATGACGAAAAGTTATGTTATTAACTCAATACCAGGAATTAAGGTGTATTAATACTGAGTAATGCTAAAAGTAACTGTTATAAACAAAAAATCATGTTGGTAGCGCTGGCTATTAAATCATGCCAGTTTCTATGCAGTAAGTAGCAGCACTTCCAGCAATCCTCAACCTTATCGTCCTGGCGTAATGCAATTCATGAATGATGAAGGGAAAAAAATTAAAGTGCATGGCTTTTCGCACAAGAGTTGGCCTTTTATTAAGTGGCTGAAGACTGAAAGTAGACAAGACCACTAAATGTGCATAACTATAAAACTACTACTGACTTTGACCAATGATTTTGAATTTGTTTGTTAGGGTCGCCTTCAGAAGTCCTCAAATGAAAGCTTATCATCAAGAGAAGGCAAACACAGTGACAGCAAAGGTTTGAGTGCTAGCAGTGATAGCGACCCTAGGGACAGCATGGAAGACAGTAAAGCGGTGAGTCCATCTGGAATTCCCATGACATGCAAGTAGTATAAACCCGTGATTAAATATGTTGATCAGAGGTCAGCTTTCAGAAATGCAATACACAGAAGGCTGCAAAACAGTTATAAAGTAAGGAAAAAGAAAAAGCATATTAGGGCAGGGGAAAAAAAGGAAAGAATGATATTGTCTCCTGCACTGAGGACTGGAATCTTAGTCATGTTTCAACTCCATCTCCTGCAATGTGGTTATATATCATCAATCGGTCTTCCAAATGTCTAGAGCGAAAACAACTCCTCCCTCCTCACTATATACTTTGTATACGTTTTTATATACTTATATACTTTGTGTTCGTCTAGCTGTTGCAACTTTCTATGACAATATCACTTTATAAATCGGTTTTTATCTCGGCCTGTTCGTCAAAAGGGTTGTCATTGTCGACGATAACGCATATAATGGAGTGAGCACTTTCTTCTGCAAACATTAGCTTTGTTTAGAGACCCATTAATGATCTTTTATGAGGTTTACATAAGGAAAAGAATTGTGTTAATTGTATTGATTAAGTAGCCTGTCAGGACGCATACCATAACTTTGTCGAGTACCTCACATATTTAGCTCCAGTTGCCGTGCGGTCTTCTTGATCTTGTCTAACCTTTTCTTGGTAAAAAGATAACTGCAACAGATGTTTTCACGCTTCAGGATCACCAGTAGCAGCAATCACTTWCTTATTGGCAGAAGATAGTCCTCATTGTCGTGTATAAGTAAAATTAAGACAATTTTCTTCTTGAAAGTTTTTTTTCTAGTTATCCACTTCGTTGCACTGACATTGTGCATTTTGAATTTATTATTATTGTTTTTTTGAAGATGACGTTCGTGCTCGCAAATAAGCAATTTGAATAGACAACTGTGAAAATGAACAACGTGGCCGTTCTTCCATTATACTCCGTCACTACTAATGAATTGTCGGATTATGGCATGGAGGTGCATTTATCTCGTGTTGATACAAGGCTATGGCTTCGTTCAACAAATTAAAAAAAATCAAAAGCTTGAACAAATACAGCAAACAACTCCAACCAATAGCAATGCTGTTCCTAAATCCTCATTTACCTAGATTCCTGGGTTGTCCCAATCACGTTTTACCAGGGATATAAATTTTTTCATCCCTTGAATAAAACTAGTTGGAAATGATGCTGAATGAACGAGTTTTGTAGGTATCCTAGGAACTCACTGTGAAGTTCGTTTGTCTTAGCGTGTGTAGTTCAATCGGATTAGGAGTGTTTTTGTACAATAGGTATGTCCTGTCATAAAGGATCTTCCAAAACGGCAAGTAACCCATAATCACCTTCTTCTGTTACTCTAATTTGAATTGCATTCATCAGTCTAAATATGAAGTGTTATACTAGTCCTTTATTCCATAGTAAGAACTTATCATTTACATACTATTGTACACATTGGAAAAATGAAATGTTCTCCAAATTACTGGTTCAAAAGCGACACTGAGGAGAAATTTGGAGAGTTAATTAAATAATCCTTTGAAGACGACGTTCTATCAAGGGTTGTTAGACAGCTTGAAGCACTTCTTTCACAGTTCAGTCATAGAACTATTTTTGTTACTTGCTTCATCTAAATATCTTACATGCACTTGATTATTGGCTCATTCACAGAAAGTTTGTTGAAATTAATATCTTAAAGTTTCGAAGTAAGACAGTTGCCAAAAAAAACAACATGTACGATGAATAATTGACCTTGTGGACATTTAACTGTTATCTGTTTATAAGGCGAGCAGTGCGCGCACTGTCTAGAGGTTTTTAATCAAGGCAACTTACTAGTATAGCTCAAAGTGCATTGCTATTACTTATAGACGCCAACGCTCTAGTTTACGTAGACTCATACATAATTTGAGTGAGTAGTAGAAATTGAACGTGGTTTGCAATCAATCACTTTTACCCTTCTGTATATGCAAAGCCGTAGCCGTGCTAATATTTGCAAGGACTTCAGAATTAAAGTACTTTCAGTGGCTTGGGTACAAATCTAGATTTTTTCTTAGCATGACCTGTTGACAGTAATCATTTGTGCCAATAACTGACTAGGTAACGATTGGTGGACGTGACACTTGATATGGTCCAAGCATATCTGCAAGGGCTACAGACATAAGCAGGTCCATCATTGGAGACCTGGGTGTATATCTAGGTTGTACTGAGCAGTCATGTTGACAGTAATCATTTTATCAGCATCCTACTAGGTCACAAGTGGAACACTTGACCTCTTTCTGTGGGTCCCTCTTCTGAGCACTCTACGTGAGCTACTCGTCATTTATACTGCAATTAACACGTCATTTGCTGTTCTGCTTTTGTGCTCTTTTGTTAAACAAATTCGGTCATTTAAAAAAATTGTTAATGACCTAATTTTTATCTCTAAAAATGCGAAAATATCAAAAGTATTTTCTTAATGTGAAATTTTGTTATCCTATTTTTGCTATATTTCTGATTTAACTCTTCTGTGTCAGTGACACTATTCAAGCCTGTCACGTTCATTGCTCAATTAAATGCTATAATTCCACGTCGTAATTTAACTAAATTCTTGTATATCTTTTAGTAATTGACATTATTGACATCAAAATACAGTATCATTGTTGGATTTCCTTACTTTTCCCCCTGGCGTTTTGGTTGGCGAATAAATAATAAACCTAAACATAGGCGATATTGGACTTTTCCAAGATGCTGATAATTTATGGTGATTAGCATTGTAAATTGTTATTGGTCCATAAAAACCACTAATGGGTTAAGGATGCTAATGTTGCTCAAAGTAGAATAACCAGATGAGTGCATGATTACAAAACAACTATATGACTTGTGATCAACTGTTAAAGTGACTGTATTTGTCTGTTCACACCTATGGTGTTTAGACGTTTTCCAACGACCTATTACACCAGTATGGAAAATGAGGTGAGACCACAAATCATCGAGTTGATTGTAAATATTTAGTTTGTATATTGAATTCATGTCTAGTGACTGAAGACATAACAAGCTGCTTTGAAAACGTTTTATAACAGATTGGTAGATATAATCATAGAGTGTTCAACTAATAAGTGTTTATTAAGTAAAGTCCTAAGCACTAGAACAGTAACTTATAAACAACTAAGTACGTTCGAGTAGTCGAAGACCTTCGCCACCTTTTGCTGCAATTAAATTCATACTTCTGTGTGTCTTGATTCTCATGCAGCCTTTAGCTGAGACCTTCTCTGGGCTGGTTGAACGCGATCCTAATATTTTAGTATGTTCGATTTTTTCCATCGTAACTTGTACAAGCAATACTTTAAAGGAGGTGTTAGGTTCAAGATCATTTTAGCATCTAAAGCAATTGATGTTGTTTACTTTACTGGCCATCTATTGTGCCCAGCCTGATTGTATGGATTATGAACTGTCAACAAATCTTTAGTTTCCAAGAGCAATTACTCGTTCGTTATTATCATCCAATAACGAAGTTAGCTACCATTACCACCTTCTTACGGTGCTAAACGACTTTTTCATTCAAAATTGCCAAATAACACAATTGCTTTTGTTACATTATTTGAGTGACGCTCGTAGATATCATGGAGTCCAACAGCGTTTTGCATATTTATTATATTAAGTCTGCCTTAATCCTTAAAATTGATCTCATTATTGTATAACATCACAGGCACAGCAGGCTACCTGATCAGACACACAGTACAGCATGTGGGCCACGATACTTCCTCATGATCATGACATAAAATAAAACAATATCTTGACCTTTTTCGATTATATTAATGGGTTGGGTGGGTTTAGCAGAAAGAAATACCGATGAGGCAGTTATCATGTGCCAGCCCCTAAACAAACAATCTAAACAAGCAAAAAAGTACATCACATCTGCAAGGAATGATTAGCCAGGGAAAGACAAACTTATAATTCCTTATTGTACTATATCTTTGAATAATTATTTGACGGGTTTTTTTCCTGYCTTCTTCCACAGCAGACGGATCTTCCTTCCGTTGCTCGCAAAATCTCGGCTCCTGCCTTTCGAATGGGCCGCCGCTCATCACAAGTTCAAATGCAAATGCATGCACATAGACGCAGCTCCGTTTCAGCCTTGCCTCGACGGATGGCAAGAAGAGGCAGTGAGGTAAGATTTATCCATGCTCAAAACGAAAAGCTATTATAAGAGTTGAGAGAATCTTAGGTATTAGGGTCATGGCGTTGTTATGACCTAAACTCTTCGGTGCAAGCGTGCATAGTTAATACATAATAGGGAGCACCTCGCAGTACATACATTCAAGTGAGCATAGGATAGATATTTAGATGGATAGGATATTTCAGTTTATGGGTTCTTGTCAGGGATACTTCAAAAATGCTTCCAAACTCGAGGTTACAGATAGAATCATATGTAAGTATCAAAATCCCTTCTTTCGCAACAATCCAGTGATATTGATAAACCAATATACATTATCAAAACATATCCTTTTTTGTCTATGATTCATTGCCAAGTCTCTCCGAGGTTTTGGGATTGGAGTAGCTAGAATATATTGGATAAAGCCGGATAGCAAATTCAAGCAAATTTACTGATATTGCCTTGGTTTACATCATTCGTGACAAAATGTTATAAACTAATTCATGGCTCATGATCGCGCATTCATGAGAGGGCTGAAGTGTGCCCCTACTTATTTGCTTCGTCTCTAATTAACCTAACTTTTTATGAATAGTCAGAGACCGATTTTTTCTGAATCAGTTGAACAAAATTCTCGAAGCTATAATTATCAGTGCCTCAGTATAAATGTAGCAAATGAATAAATAATTCCTCTCATTTTAGGTTTTCTGTAAAGTTATAAAGATATTGCACCCGAAATAAACACGCGCTCGGGATGATGCGCAGTTTCGGTATATTGGACTAATGCCAAACAAGCTTCATCGGTCGCAAACAAACAACACGCAATCAACCAAGAGAAGAGGGTGGATATTATTCTAACTTACTTGAAAGGTCCCATAAGAGTCAGTTATGTAAGTAATGGTTTGCACGTCTTGTCACATTATTGCGGGTCATAACATAGCATAGCATTTAAAAACACTGGTCATACTGATCATAGTATTAATTATGTGCTGATGAAACCTGCGCTCCTTTACATAGTTGGCTTCCGGAAGAGGAGTCTGTAAAACACTTGCACGTTTGTACAAAACTAAAACTCACTCATTGCTATGATCAAGTATTCTGTCAAATAAACCGGCTTCAGACAAGAATCTAATATATATAATACTAATATAAAATTACTAATAGTTGCTAAGATAATCATAAGATAGTCATGCAAATAATTAAGCTTAGGAATCATAGGAAGGACAATGAAGGCAGACGCCACCTGTAATAAATTCAACAAGTAATGTTGAAAATATAAATAAGATGTAGGCCTAGATGAAAGACGATCGTGTAAATATCTAGTAGCCTAATAAAGAGTTTTTGTTATTATTAATAACTGAGGTGTGCAAAGATCACGGATGTCGCAAAGTCACGGTATGTGACTGGGGACATCAAGTTAACCAATCGCGGCTTGAGGTTACTTCTCATCCAATTAGATAGCTAGAATATGGTACATCAGTTTGAAGGGGCAACTGAAAACTGTTATACGTTTGACAAACCCTGCCTTTAACTACTTGTACATAAACCTATTTGAGTCCTCAGTAACCTAAGAACCAGCCAGGAAGCCCAAGCTTGGTTTTCGTGCCTATAACTATAAGTTACAGTTAATGTATGTGGTTAAAAATAAATTGCTTTTTTTTTCGAAGAATTTTGAAAATTCGCGAGACTTTCATCACTACGTTCTTTTGGTTTACTGTTCTCAGCTGGTTCTTAGCAATAGGGACGAGGTCTTGCGCAATCGTAGCTTTTTAAATTACAGTAAGTACCCGCGTGTAGGAACCTAGTGGTTTAAGACTGAGCCTGCTGGCAGAAATTTGCTATTTTAATACCAAAAAAATGTAAGRAACTGTTTAGCCAAGCAAGATCTAGCAGGTTCTTATATGTGGATTATTTATTTATGTATTTATCTTTATTATACAACTCTTGTTTTTGGTGGCATGATATTTATTTTTTTGGCTCAACCCTTGCACATTATCTTTTCTTTTTGCCTACAGTTGGATATTTTTCTTCTAGCAGAAGAGGTTGACCGATATTTTTTTTGAGGTTTAAGTGCTTGCTCGATATTCTTTTATTTGGGGATTTAAGCAACCCCCCATCAGTTATCTAATGGTCCGTCCATAATACAGTTGTGAATAAATACTGTATATCTCCTTCATAGAAATCGAGAACCTAATTAAGAACCTACTTAGACTTAGCCTTAATTGCCCATAACTACCTGTACCTCAAAATAGAAGAACCTATTTTGTCAGAATTCAAAAATTGTAGGTTCTTACACGCGCATTTTTACTGTAGAAAATCAAAAGGACCACGATTGCTCTAAAAACTTGAAAACTCGTTCCTAGTTAAGAACCAGCTAAGGACTGGACCCATCATACTGTAGTTAATATGGACACACACAAAATATAGATGAAAAACATCGAACTTTTAAAAATAATTTCTTCAAAAATATGCGTTTTTTTGTAAACCAAATATATACATTTACTGCAGCTTACTGACAAAAAAAAAAGAAGCAAACTTACAGTGATTTAACGTAGATTCACTTTGAAAAGACTCTTGCTAATAAACGGATATTTCAAACTTCGTGCGACAATCGCCTCTCTGGAGTTAGTCTAAATTTCTTCAAACCCAAAACAACTTTCAAACAAAAACTCAAGGATATCAATGCTTTGGCATGATTTCCATTGCTTCTAACGAATCCTTTCTGTAAATGTTGTCTATTATTAACCCCGTGCTTTGGCCATGCACTCATACAAGAGTTAATGGCCCATTGGCGCTTTTGGCGCGCGCGGTCGCGTAAGATCCTTTGGTCCAAAAAATGTTCTTCACTTAGCCAAACTGAGATTAATCTTAAAAGCTGTTATGAATTCCTTCCGATATAAAGATCTTAACAAATATCYGTCCATTTTCCTTGATTAATGAATGCGTGTGTTTTGTAAGACTAATTATGCACGCACGGTTAACAAAACCTCCAATTATGAACAATAGATAAATCCTKTTTTCTCTTTAGGAATTGTTTGGCCTTGTTTGCCTTGTATTAGGGATAATAACGATTGAATGTCGGCTCTTCAAAGAGTTCGCTAGTTTTTGTTTGTTGATTCGGAGCTTTGTTTCCTTGGAGTGAAAATAAACATTCAATGTTTTAGACTCTCACACCACAACAACTATGTTCAGCGTAATAAATTTTGAGTCGAAACTCTAAATCAAGGATGGAATTAAGCGCTAATGCAGTTTTCTTTTGTATCGTTAATTTAACCTGGATTATCGTGACTTTGATTATGGAAAAGATCGAAAACAATGGACAACAAAAAGTAAGTTCTAAATTGCTAGAAGGAACGTAAAAACTAGCTTTAGTGGTCTTGATACGTTTTGGGATATGAGCATGAAAGGAGAAATGAGTAGGCGCAGAGTTAGGCTTATTTATTGAGTTGTCTCCTGCGTTGTCTCCGGCGGTATTTAACACCTACTTCAGATAGATTGGTAATTACTCTTAGCATTGGTTCTGTTCGTGTGAAGAAAGTGTCAACTACTACAAAACAACAAAACACAACAATTGCGTGAAAATAGCAAGAAAATATTATCCCATGGTTTGCCAAAACAAACATATAATATTCGATTAACATTGGAGATGTAGATAAATCTTTACAATCATTGCCTAGGCAGTTCAAGGGCTAGGCGCAGACCGGTGGGCTTGTTAATTTAAGAAATGATTTTATCTCATATGTACCCGCACGTAACTCGCGACTTACAGTCAAGTACTGCAACAGGTTACCTCCACTTACGAGACTAGACACTCTCGTGTAGTATCGAGCCGGACAAACACGATATGTACTGGTCATTCTTGGAACTACTCTTTTGTATTTGAAGAATCAAGTTCTCGTTGTTTAGTGATTTGATAGCTGATCGCAATTGTATTGCAAAAATAGTCGTATACAATTTGCTTAGCAATAGTTCAATTCATCATCATACTTACTGCCGCAACCAATTACAAGTCGACTGGCACATGGCATCTTCCCTTTTTTACAACAGTTTATTGTTTTGAACAAACTAGGGTGTGCACGTGTGAGCTTGCACTGGACGTCATCACTTTATTGATCGTAATCAAAAGAACACTTAAGTCACAAAACAAGGAGTTATACGTACAACAAGGCACTTGTGAACACCATAAATAGTCTCTACTTCGAAGCTACACGTTCAGATTCTCGTAGACATTCATAGAGGAGTGAACATTCTTGTGGTTGAACAGTGAAACGAATTTCTTTAGTTAGGCTACGTTAGGAGCGGTGCCTTTGCGTCTAATTGACAGTAYAACGCCTACATTCATTCATTTGTTCTACTAATGAGCTGGTGAGTTACTATATTCATAAAACACAAAAGTGTAAATCATTTTACTTGGGCCATGAATACATACGTTTGTATATAGTGATACAAACGATATGGGTCAGCTTTTCTCAAAACTAAAGRTTAGTATGTTACTACACATCTGCTCAGTAATAACTATGTTCTCGAGTAAATCACGAGAAAACATCTTTTAAATGTAAGCGCATCGCTCGTGGGACGCGCAATCTATAACAGTGATTCGGTTCATATTTATGGCGCGGCAGTCCAAACGTCTTCCACAATTTACCCGACTCTGATAAGAATTCTAACCAAAGTTAGCGAAAACATTTTTGAATAAATGATAGTGAGAAGATAAAGATTTCAGCGAATGAGTTCATCCATACTGCTGGATAACCCTAAAATTCAAACTTTAAGTACTGTAGTTGATATGTTATTTAATATATACTAGGTGCAGTGGATGYGAATCTGTAAAACCAGAGTGACGTCTAGTATTATTACAATGGGATTTTTAATTTTACTACGTAAATGTCAACTTTAAGTCAATTACTGATCAACATTTGAATCCAATTAGGATCTGAGACATTCTGCTTTCCTGCACTTTTGCACATCTCTTGTCAAGTGTTAACCAACCCCACCTAGCTAGGCTAGGTTATTTAAAAAATGTCTGCGACGACATACCTCCAACATAGCCTTATAATCTACCATAAAAATCTTAGGACTTAAATTTAGCTTTCAGTTGAATTTTCGCTGAGTTTGATTAAGTTTTTAACGAAAGACTATTCCCTGTATATACCGCTGACCTAAATGACTGTAGCTTGGGGTTCACATTTCCTCCTCCTGTTTGTTATGATATCACGCGAAGAGGCGCCAGCCCCCTGAACGACAGGTATGAAAAACAAACAAACAAAAAAAAAAAA